GAGACAGCCATATTCGACTTCCAGCTATCAAGAATACGGAAAATAGTTATTATAACAAATAGAACAAGACTTAGTGTTGTTTTGCCAATACATTTGTACTGTGATTTTCGAATTCCACCTATCTAAAATGTATTGTCGTTATGTTAATCTTATTTTTGTATTTCTCATACCTATTCAAGCATCACCGGTGTAAGCTTTCTTTGAAAACGAATGCTACTTTATCATAATATCCCTGGTGTCTTTATTATAACATCCAAGTTTGAAGATACTATAAAAGTGTTACAGACATGCTTATCAACCTTGAAAATGATTTTAAACACGACCCAGCTTTAGTTTATATCATTTCCGTACGTTTCCAATTGATTCTTTAATTTCTCTCAAGCTTACTTTTCCATATTATGTTTGCAAGTACCTTTTTCATTGGTAACCAGGCCACAATGAAAACTCCTTTTGAATGGAATTAAAAGACTTGAAATCTAACTCTTTATCTCGTTTGTTAAAAGGTCCAGTACATTTTGTAGTCTATTGCAATAATTCTTTTCTGATAGAGAAATCAATTATTTACACTCTCTAGGAATCCAGTCATTCCATGCTGTATTTGAATTATTCCATGCTGTCTCTGAGTGTATTTTTTTTTTTTTTTTTTTTTGTAAATTCCACTCAATAGATGCTGTTTTCGAGTATATTCCAATTCTTCCATGCCGTCATCATGTTTACTCCAGTTGTTCTTTGATGACTTCTTCAGTTAATCAAGGTTACCTCCATGTTTATTCCAGATATCCCATGCTGTCTACGTGTATTCTCCAGATAATCAAAGTTATTTTCATGTATATTCAAGTTATCCCGTGCTGTCTACGTGTATTCTCCAGATAATTAAAGTTACCGTCATGTATATTCCAGTTATCCCGTGCTGTCTGCGTGTATTCTCCAGTTAATGAAGGTTACCTCTGTTTATATTCCAATTATCCCGTGCTGTCTACGTGTATTTTCCAGATAATCAAAGTTACCGTCATGTATATTCCAGTTATCCCGTTTTGTCCACATGTATTCTCCAGTTAATGAAGGTTACCTCCATGTTTATTCCAGTTATTCCGTGCTGTCTACGTGCATATTTAATGTTTTCCAATGGATGTTTCAAGTCTTTATTGCTTGTATACGAGCATGTTAAATACTGTAGCAATTTACTTGTCACACATATAACATATCTTTTCAGTCTTATTGTAAAGTATGGATATATTCCAAAATCGTGGAAATTGGGCACGATAATTACACTGTACGAAGGTAATCGGAAACTAAAGGACGATCCAAACAGTTACAGGGGCATAACATTAATTCCTGTATTTTTAAAAATATCTGAGTCATTGTTGTCTACCCGTTTAGGTCCAGTACTTGAGTCAGACTCATTTCCAAACCGGCATCAGTCAGCCTATCTTAAGAATTTATGTAGTTTATGTACGTCCTTTAATTTACAAGAAAGCATCAATTATAATCTAGACCATGCATCCGAAGTGTTTGTTGCCTTTATAGATAGTAATACAGCCTTCGATTGTGTATGGCAAGACGGGTTATTCTATAAGCTTTACAACTTGGGTATTAAAGGGAAAACATGGAACATTATGTATCAGATGTACTTTCATTTTACCAGTCGAGTTGTTTTCAATGGTTTTAAGTCAAATTACATAACTATGAAGCGAGGGATTTTACAAGGTTGCTCGTTATCTGCGAAATTGTACTTGGTTTTTATAAATGATCTGCTAAATGATGTCGAATTTAGCGGAAAAGGGGCAGTAGTGTTATCCTCACGTGTTAATATACCCACACAAGCCGATGATATATGTCTTGTTAGTAACAACGTCTGTGAGTTATACAGCCGAAAGTGGAGATTTACTTTTTCTTCCGTTAAATCTAAGGTCCTTGTTTTCACTGCCAAAAAACAATCAGGTGTATCATGTGATGTGACTCTATATGATTTTAAAATCACCAATTGTTGAAAGCATTACACATGTTGGTGTTTTGTTGAACAGCAAAAATAATAATATTGAACGCACAGAACGCGCTTGTTCTAGGTTGAAGTGTGGAGTAATGTCTTTGATTCGTTCCGGGGCACACCCATATACGCTCAATCCTCTTACTACTGCAAAAATATTAAAGTCTAAAGTTTACCCTTCAGCATTGTATGGTTGTGAATTGTGGCAATTAAAGCAAAGATAAATTTATATGTTAAAAAAGGCACAGAATTTCATTGTTAAATCAATTCAAGGTTTCAGTTTATAACTAGAACGGACATGTATACATATTTGCTTGGGTGGTTTTCAATTGAAGTATATATAAGTATAAAGAAAATGCAATTTCTTGATAGAATTTGTTTAATGAATGTAGGTTATTTAACACGTGAGATTTTTATTAAACGGTTATTTGAATTCAGTCTGACCCATTTTAGTAGAGGATTTGTGCCTGATATTGTTTATATTCTACAAAAATACAATTTGTACTATGTTCTTAATGAATTCATGAGAAATGGTGTATTTCCTAACAAATCACAATGGAAGATTTTAATTAATGGTCATGTTAGAAAATATGAAGAAACTAGATTATTTGAAAGAATGTACGTAGATCGTGATTTTTCTCGATTTATTCTCTTACATAATAGTATACATCCTTACCCGGTTTGGAAACTTGCTCTACGTTTTCCACAACATGGTTTTAATATCAAACGAATTGTTAAACTAAGCGTTGAAATGCGTGAAAATGAAAATGCTCACCTGTGTCACTACTGTGGCATCATGTATAAAGATGTCATTATTCATAGCGTGCTTGAATGCTCTCACACGGAGAGTTTACGGGACCAGCTCTGGTGCTTACTAAGCACAGTGAAAGATATAGATTTTGTAGTTTACCTTAATGAATTGTCAAATTATCAATTAATACATGTTCTTCTCGTGGGAATTATCGACTACGATATATCCCCATTTGATGAACAAGAGGATTTTAGAATAAACTCAATAATTTTCATCATCAGAATCCTACAACATTATCATGCTATATAATTGTAATGTTTGGTCATTTTGACTTCAATATGAAATATTCACGTCTTAAATCCTATGGTTGTAATATGCACATTTATTAGATTTAACTGGGAAAGAATACCCGAAATGATTTTGTTTTAGAAGAAAATTAAGATTTTTTTTTTCATTACCTCATACAATATTATATATATATATCTTGATATTGTACTTCGTGCGTTTATTTTCTTTACTTTAAGAGTTGGTGTATGTATGCAATATGTCTATTGTTCACTTTGTATGTAATTGAAATGATTCTTGTATGCAATGTGTTTACTATATAAGTTTTCTTTATATTATATCGTTCCATATGGAAAACGCTTACTTCACGCGTTTATATTCTTAACTATAGGAGTTGTTGTATGTATACAATATACGTACGTAAACTCTGCGTCTACTGTTTACTTTATATTAATTTAAATGCTTCTTATGTGTATATTTGTGTACAAACGCACTATCACATTCTGTAATGTCAATGTATGTTCTTTTTGTACAACTCTTCACACTTGGAGGAAATAAAAGAAATAATAATAATAATGATAATTGACAGTCCATTTACCTGTGTGTGATATGCTAATGCAAAAATGTTCCCCATAATCAATATCATATACCACCTCTTGACTACTTTCATTGGTATTGATGATACCTCTTCCAGTGTTTGAATTGCAGTTTTACTTCAAATTGAATATGTATCCAAACATTGACTTTAGAAGGACTTTGTAGAAAATATGTTCTAGCATAGTTCATAACCATATGCAGGTACCTACCTTATTTTGATTAGAATGCTCCCCCAATCTAGAGGATGAGGATGTCCTTTCAATTTGAGATGTAAAATAAAATCTACTTGGTGTTCGTTAGTGTGCCTGTCCGTTCCGTTGATGTTTACTTTGTTCTCGTATGGGAACGTGACATTATTTACCTGTATTGACCTAGATTTACACAGCGTGTGTCGATGAAGCAGATGACGCTTACTTTTCCGGATGATCTTATTTCCCTGCATTTTCATTAGTCTCCTTGTAGATTTTCCACTTGTCGTTTGCCCTTGTCTTATCAAATTAGAGTTAAGATTATGATTATGTTGACATGTTTGTATTTTCTAGTTGTTTTATATACCCACCAGAATTCGAAATAAAGATTTTTTTCCTGTATATATTCCTATTACAAATACATATTCCATTTCTACCTGGCGTTTTTTCTATTCTACCGAACTGCGGAATTCATGTCTCAGTTGACATGAAATCCGAAGGGTGGTTCAAATATCACAATTGTAGTAACTTACAACAGGTAGCTTCGAGAAAGACAAGTTGACAAACACTATGAAGAATGAAGATGCTTTATGAACTCGACATTGATTCTGTATGGGACTGCTTTATTTTCCTGTGGAATATGAAGCTATTTATAGATAGTATGAAGTATAGTTCCGTTGTTTACCTGAAGCGCAATAGGCTCACATTCCGTATTTAGCTTTATTCTCTTTATAAACCTTGGTATTGTGTGGGTGTAGATTAATATTCAATTATAACGTCATTGATTTCTATTCGTTATATTGCAAGTATTACTTTTTCTATTACAGAAACGTGACTGGAATGGATGCTGTGAAAGATGGTATGGGTAAAGTTATCCTATATTGTGAAGTGATTCCTTCTCAATACTCCAGGAGTTACGATCACTTTTGCTCTTTGCACCCCTGGAACATGCCATGGCAAAATTAAAGGTTACGTGTGTGACACCTTGTGGACAAGACGAAAAGTCTAGTTTGATCCTTCGATGTACATAAATCGAATCTTGAGGTCGCATAACGGTGTATTGTAATGGTTTAAACGTTGGGTGCGACACGCCACTGTAGTTTTCAGAAGGAGCGTATTAGTCTGTGATTGGTCAGTTTTTTCCTCCAGGAACCAATCAAATTACTTCGTTTGTGCCGTCAATTTTGTCATGATGACATGTTCCAGGGGTGCAGGGAGCGGAAGTGATTGTAACCCCTGGAGTATCGACGATGGAGGTGATTATGAATGTTGAATAAAGTTATACCGGCCATTTTCCACTTACAGACCCATTATGGAAATCAGAGTATAAACCTGTGTAAAACAGCATGTGTGCACAACATCATATGCATTTAAGTTATACGCTATAAAAGCTTCCGAACAGAATATCACAGCGCTGCAAGATCTAGACATTATGTATGTAATATAATTTTAAACCAGTTGTCTTCAGGTTGGCCATGCTCCGAATGCACGTATTTGAACCCTTCATCCAGTTGGCGATGCAAAGTATGCGAGATTGGACTCGGACCCGTTACAACAAAAGGCAAAGGTAAAATATAGGTCATTCGTGTTCTGTACCTTAAATGCGATCTTAAAATGAGTTGAAAGTGAATAGATCTTTTCGTATCGCTTCAGTATTATCAATATTAAACATTGATATTGTTTTATACCGGCATCTGATGATTGTTTTACCGACATGATAATTGATTTCTACAGAAAACAACAGCCATGTTCAGAATAAGTCCTACTGATAATGCTTATGTAAAATTTCCTATTGTTTACGTGTACTTTTTTGTGTCTCCGAATTATATGTAATTTACAGAATGGTCATGTACTGCCTGCACGTTCCTGAATCCTGTTAGCACTTCGAGGTGTAAAATTTGCATTACAAGACGCAAAAATACCAAAGATCATCAGTATTCTTTTACGATTATTAACAAAACGAGAGGACGGAGCTTGGATTCTGGTAAATTGTGACTTATTGTTGCTTTGTTCTCGTTATCAGATAGCACTGAAATTTCTATATACGTTCCCATTGCCATATAATTTATTCTTTAATTAACATATCTGAGGAGTGTGTTGTAGAATATGTACCAACAGTAGTGTCGGTAAGATTTAGTTTTATAAAGGAAAAAATGGTATTTAAATTGTCAATAAAATGTTAGTACGTAAATATGTGTACATGTATATATAAACGTATATGTATATGAATGTACCTACCATACTGGTCTTATATTATGTATTATAGCCCTTGTGATTCCTTGGAATTTTATAAAAGCACCGTTCGATTGGTAACGTTTACATATTAAATGGCGCGGTAGAGTAATTGCCTGATAAAAAACGAGTTCATCATATTCTTTTCGCAGATACATTTCAGTTAAAGGAGATACAAAATGAAATCCGGCTCGTTCTCATCGGAAGAACAGGTGCTGGTAAAAGTGCCACAGGAAACACCATACTCGGCGAGGATGCGTTTGTGTCCAAAACATCTATGGCATCAATCACACGGAAATGCTCGTCTGGAACCGCACATCGTTTTGGGAAGGACTTACTAGTGGTAGACACACCAGGTTTATATGATACTGGTATGACTAATGAGGACGTCACAAAGGAAATAGTCAAATGTATCGGTATGACGTCACCAGGACCGCACGCAATAGTTCTCGTGGTAATTATAAGTCGATTTACAAAAGAGGAACAGGACACAGTTCAACATTTCTCCGATATTTTCGGGGAGGGGATGTTCAATCACATGATAGTGCTGTTCACACGCAGAGATGATCTGGACAGACAAAACATTAAAATACAAAACTGCGTTCAGCAAGCAACGCCGAAGTTAAAAGAAATCTTACAGAAATGCGATCAAAGATATCTTGCGTTTGACAACACTCAGACGCCTGCTATGAGGGAAAGAGACGCAGGACAATTAATTGAATTAGTTAACGATATTACTAAAAGAAATGGTGGCAATTCTTACTCCAATGAAATGTACGCGGAAGCAGAAAAGCAGTATAAAAGAAGAGTAGCGGAAATTGAGAGTCAAAAGAATAGAGAAAAGGAATTTGAAAAGGAACGCATAACCAGATCGCTGCGAATCGAATTCGAGAACAAAATTGGGAAAGTTCGCACCGAAAAGGAGAGATTGCTACAACAAAGTCGTGAAAAGGAACGCCAACTTCGTTCAGATATAGATAAACTAAAACTACGCATTGAAGCTGACGCGTATGTTAAAGAGCGTGTCAGCTTGGAGTGGGAGAGGCTTAAGAAAGAGAATACAGAACAACTGTGTAACCAGAGAATAAGAGAAGTTGAAGAACGTGAACGACAATGTAGAGAAGAATACAGACGCAGAGAACAGGATCTACTCTCCCGAGTTGAAAAAAAGTATAAAGTGGACTCAAGTTCAATGCGTTCAAAAGTAAGGAAAGAGTATGAAGAAGAAGACCAAGGGGCACTGTCACATTTGTGGACTGGAATAAAAAATGTTGGAATGGGTGTTGTCAAAGGTTTCAAGGCGGCTGCGAAATTCTTTGGGTTTTAAAACAAATACACGTGCGTGCTTATCAATAGTCCGTACACCAAATGCACCGGGTTCTGTTGTGCTAACTTGCCAATGTAAGGTAATAGGTAAACATTTCTGACAGACATGAAATTAGGTCCAGGAAACAAACACAAAACACGAGATAGCTGATGAACAATGTATGTTAGAGACAACGACAGTAATTACAAAACTGAGAGTCTGTCCTCAAAGCTGCGTGTAACCTTAGTGCATTTGCAATCTGCAGAAGAAATGCTTTGATGTTTACCAATTGTCAGATTGGTAAAATTTTACATGTACTGCCGGGCTGATACCTGCTATGCCTTTGAATTAAATTCTTAATTAATCTAGTCGTCATTGACAGTGTGAACATATTACAAATTTTGATTGTGATCCAACATAGTTAATTGTGGATCACAATGAGGTCATAATGAACACGACTTTGATTTCAATTCTTTGTGACTAACTTGTGATTGACTGCTGTACTTACCATGTTTAAAGAACTAACTTCATTGTTGACTGCTGTACTTACCATGTTTATAGGTAACTTCATTGTTGACTGTTGTACTTACCATGTTTATAGGTGACCTCGTTGTTGACTATTGTACTTACCATGTTTATAGAACTAACTTCATTGTTGACTGCTGTACGTACCATGTTTATAGGTCTAATTTCATTGTTGATTGCTGTACGTACCGTGTTTATAGAACTAACTTCATTGTTGACTGCTGTACTTACCATGTTTATAGGACTAACTTCATTGTTGACTACTGTACTTACCATGTTTATAGGTCTAACTTCATTGACTGCTGTACTTACCATGTTTATAGGTAACTTCATTGTTGACTGCTGTCCTTACCATGTTTATAGAACTAACTTCATTGTTGACTGTTTTACTTACCATGTTTATAGGTCTAACTTCATCGTTTAATACTGTACTAACCATGTTTATAGGTCTAACTTCATTGTTGACTGCTGTACTTACCATGTTTATAGGTAACTTCATTGTTGACTGCTGTACTTACCATGTTTATAGGTCTAACTTCATTGTTGACTACTGTACTATCCATGTTTATAGAACTAACTTTATTGTTGACTACTGTACTTCGGTTCAGAAAATTTTAAGATGGAATCTTCAGTTACTAAGAATTGTGAATAAGAATAGTAGGGTCATTTATGTTAGACAATCATAAATAAGAATGTTTAACTGCAGTATATACATTGTATGTTGTGAGGGTTACTTATAAGGATAGCCTCCAACTCAAGCAGTTTTAACATATGTGATCAAACTTTAAATACAAATGGTGTAACAAAAGTGTGTATGTCAATGTCCTTCTGGTAATCACACACATATTAATTCATCATTTTTATTACTGTCTTTGCTTTCCTTTGGTTTATGGAATCATAGCAGTGATTTGTAATGACTGAGATTTTGCTGTATATATACTATTTCATTTTTTAAAACATAAAATATGTAAAGTAAAGGTGAACAATGCAATGTAATATAAATCTGGAGCAATGAACTTTGTTTTGAAATAAATACCTACAAAGTTAAATCCCACGTTTTTTTTCATGTAATTCTGTAAATGTACTTACATTACATTAAAACTTTTTCACATCATCAGTTTTTACAAAGGATTAATTTGCACATCCACAATAATTGCATACAGAAACTGTAACTATAACTGTCATTATGAGAATAAGTCATACCCCTGCACATCACCAAAAGCATTTGCATCGCATTGTATCAATTTTTAGATTGATCAAACAATATCACAAAGACCACTGAGCAGGAGCCACCATTATGATTCCACAGTAAAAATTCTGGAAACATCTTAGGTCTCAAATTATAGGAACAGATGAATTACACAATTCAACTATGTGTGAATAAAAATGTTCCAAGCATTTCTGTCCTACACACAAATATCTGTGTGTACCTGGTTACCATTGCAACCAAAATTTCTGCTAAAACAGGAGCCCATAGGGCCTGTATTGCAAACCTAGCTTTATATACTTGGCTGAAACTGTCTCAACCAAACTGACTGGAATTGCACCTTAATACATGATGCACATAGTGTCTGTGAGCTGAATGCATAGAAATGACATAAAAATGTGCATGTGCACTTCACCTCTAACATACCGATGACATTTCATTGAAATCATTTCCCGATTTCAGGAGTTTTCTGGTCAAGATTTGTGAACATCCAGGCAGGGTGATTCCAGTTTGACACCCATCACCCACCCACCTCCAATCCCACACACACAAACAACACACACACTCCGCTGAAGAGGGGTGTTTACAGCAGGTAGTTTACAGCGCGTTTCAGAAACTTGGAAAGTTGATGCTAAAATTCCTATATATTCAACAAATTTATTTCCTATATAAAGGGATTACTTTAATGTGTTATTGGTCATACCTTGTCTTAGATTTGGAGGTTAAAGTATTCAAACTAAGGAAAAGGAATGTCAAAATCATGATAATTCATACCACTTGTACAATAAGCTCATCGCCTTCAGCAAAATAACATAATATATAAATGAATAAATAAAGCCTAAAACTTTCAACAATTTAATAAGAAAACACACATAGAAACAAAGAATAGTACATACCACTTTGTCCAAGATCTATACTGAACTTACTTTGTCCAAGATCTATACTGAACTTACTTTGTCCAAGATCTATACTGAACTTACTTTGTCCAAGATCTATACTGAACTATGATATGTTAACAATAAATATAACTTCATTTAATACATATGATGATGAATGTTTAAAACCAGTACATATATACATGCTAGTATATATATTTGTACTAATAAATTTTGTATCCTCAGTATGTTAAGTATTCAACAGTAATGTCAACCCTATTGGAATGTAATGTGTTAAGTATCACTACATAATTACTTCCTTAAGTATTACCTGGATGGCTAGAAAGATAATGAATTGATGAAGAGATCAATGTATTTCTAGTTTATGATTCTGTCATTAGTGGCTACAATGAATTTTGTGTTGAGTTTGCATTCCAAATTAAGAAGGAAATTAATTAATATCAGACAACTTTGAGGATATTTCCCAAAATCAGAGCATCATTATAGAAGTTCTAAAATGTGAAACCAATTAAGATCAATAAGCTTTTAATTCAGTGGCCTGATGTACAACTTTAGACTGAACCTATAAAAACTCTTAAATTAATTTTTGCTATAAGGAAGATCTAATAAAATTTTTATTATAAAAATTAATCAATTCTATTGCAGATGTTGAAATAATTCTATTTATTCATGTTTGGCACTTTACAACATATATCTTGACAGGTTACACTGTATACAGTTGTAGTATGTTCTGCATTACCAGGTCACACTGTTCTGTTCAACTATAATAGACAGGATATATTGTGCAATGATAAGTTTTGCTTAGGCAAAATTTCTTGTATTGTATGATGTCCTATGTTACAAAAGGGCTTTAATCGTTCAAAGTTGTGTCCTCTTAATTTTCAAGGAAGATTTTTTAATCAGGTTATACACTGAACACTCAGCCGTGTAACACAAGATATAGACACAGATAAGTTCTAGAGATTTATGTTTTACATGGTGATTAAATTATCATCTCTTGTTACAGATGTAAAGTTTTATAATTACTGTAAAACATAACACATATCATAGACACAGATTTCTTCTAGGGGTTTATGTTTTACATGGAGATTCAGTTATCATATCCCTTGTTAGATATAAAGTTTTATAATTACTGTAAAACACAACATCTATCATAGACACAGATTTCTTCCAGAGATTTACATTCATAAAAAGTCTAATGAGATTCAGATTACAAGGAAACTGTTGCCACAGTCTCACTGTTGTCTGTTTCACCTTTTTACCAATTGAGCAAAATCAAAAGAAGGGCTAAAGTTTCATTTTAAAGCTGAAAGTATACGTTCTCAAGTTTTAAGGACTAATAAACCACTAGGAAAAGCGAAGTGGTAATGCAAGCCAAAGAGAGTATAGTTTCCTCATATACAATATCTCCACTTACAGATCGAAAAATTCATCAAAATTCACAGAAAATATAAACTACAATCAGTTTCTTTCACTGCATGTAAATCCTGTACTGAGTAATTTCAGTTGTTGTAGATAAAAAAGATTTAGAACAAGAAATTTCCCATCAGCTGGACAATGATGCTGGGAAAAGACATGGATACATGGACGGAACTCCATAGCTAGGGATGAGATGTTTGCTGTCAACTGGCTGCTGTTACTGGAGGTTTCTGTTGAGAAGACATGTATGCTTGAACAGATCTCCATAGAGCTGTGATATTACCAGATCCAAAACCAGTAGCTCCACAGCGATGAATCACTTCCAGGAAAAAGGTGTTTCTATCGAATAGAGGCTTGGTGAATTTCTGCATCAAGTACCTAAAACAAATAAAAGTATTTACCACTGTGAAAAGCAATGTGACTTAGAGTAATATTTCAAACATAAAAGTTTAACATGAAACAGGTGGTTTAGTCTTCTTTTTTCTAAAGCAGTAAAACTCATCAGTACTTTTCTTACTTAACATCTGGCACCATATGAATGTGAAGTGATTCACACATATGCAGCTGTGTGGCATTGTCAGATTGTCCTGATATTGGCCATATTATCATGACCTGCTCAAATTACAAAAAATATAACAAAATCATAAATAAAGAGATAATAACACCACATATAAAAGGTGTTTTTACCTACTTAACCTTTAATCCAGTATGTCGACCTTGAGTTTGAAGACCATCACCAGATATTATTTGACAACAGGATGGCAATACTGATATTGTCAAATACCTTATGATCTTAAGGTTCACATGAACAAACATTACCACATATTGATGTGTACATCTATATCTGTGTCTGATGACAATTTAAATATCATCAACATTGAATATTAGAAAATATTTGATAATGTCTATCAAGTATGCAGCTTTGGAAACAAATGACCATTAGATATATAGTCGCAGGAATGACTGGCCTTCTAACCTCAATCATTACACAAAATAAGCTAGCTAATGACCAGGAGTTGTTAATGGATGTTAACTAGCTATGTACCTATAAAGTAACTGGCTGGAGTGTGAGCTATATACCTATAAAGTAACTGACTGGAGTGTGAGCTATATACCTATAAAGTAACTGACTGGAGTGTGAGCTATATACCTATATAGTAACTGGCTGGAGTGTGAGCTATATACCTATATAGTAACTGGCTGGAGTGTGAGCTATATACCTATAAAGTAACTGGCTGGAGTGTGAGCTATATACCTATAAAGTAACTGACTGGAGTGTGAGCTATATACCTATAAAGTAACTGGCTGGAGTGTGAGCTATAGACCTATAAAGTAACTGACTGGAGTGTGAGCTATATACCTATAAAGTAACTGACTGGAGTGTGAGCTATATACCTATAAAGTAACTGACTGGAGTGTGAGCTATATACCTATATAGTAACTGGCTGGAGTGTGAGCTATATACCTATATAGTAACTGGCTGGAGTGTGAGCTATATACCTATAAAGTAACTGGCTGGAGTGTGAGCTATATACCTATAAAGTAACTGACTGGAGTGTGAGCTATATACCTATAAAGTAACTGGCTGGAGTGTGAGCTATATACCTATAAAGTAACTGGCTGGAGTGTGAGCTATATACCTATATAGTAACTGGCTGGAGTGTGAGCTATATACCTATATAGTAACTGGCTGGAGTGTGAGAAATAGACCTATAAGGTAACTGGCTGGAGTGTGAGCACATACTACTCTGCTGCTAGTTTTGGCTGCATCTGTAGAAACACTGTCCTCTGATACTTAGTGAACCAAAAATGTCACTTGCTTGGCGTATAGCATACATTTCTGTGGTTTGAGGTTTTGCTTTGTGTCTTTTTGGCTGCTGATTGATATGGCACTGCGTCAGTAACGAGTCATCCTCTGTTCGCCTATTACACCATGTCGCTCTTCCATGTGCTGTAGACTCTCATTCTCGCTATCATCCATATATCCAGGACTCCATTCAAGAACAGATACCTTTTGAGATTTTTTAAGAAGCCTTTGTTGGGAATATGTAAGGTCTTCGCTGACAGGTTCTTTCTTGACAGGTCTTGACTCAACGTCTGAAGTCTTGTCTCTCGCTGAACTGGTCAGTGTCTGAAAACTATTATCTTTGGTGCGCAAACTGTCTAGTTCAGACTCTAGTTTGTTTATGGTGGTTAAAATGTCATCTTTTGTGTTACAGGCTGTTGCTATCATGTCTGTTGAAAACTGCTACCACCAAAATGTAACGTTTTTCTTTGGTTCTTTTCCGCAGACATGAATGGTACAAATGACCAGCAACAGTACAAACAAGAATGGAATTTATTTACAGATATATATGCATGTGTTAACTAAATGTTCCCGCACATCTGGTATGTGTACAGCCGCTGCCTTACTGATACGGTATTGCCGGGAACCACTTAGGTCGGCACTTACGCCAGCGTCACTTGCCTGGTACTCCTGGCCTTCCTTGGCATACTCTGCATCACACCAATACCCATGATGTACACTCGTCCCACATTCCCTGTTATGCCAACAATTTTGTATCCCTTTACCAAGCAGTTTTGACATCTAATCAAGTCATTCTATTTTATAGCGTGTCAACAATAAACCCATAGTGAGGTTTATTTAGGTAAAGTGTTGACTTCCAGTTCAGCCAGCAGTAAGTTAATGGAGTGTTAGAGATTGGTTTGACCCTCCAGTGTGCTGATAGATGAGGTAGTGAAGACATTTTCTTAAAGTGTTGGAAGGTGGATCATACCAATCTACACTAATCTAATAGTGTTGGGACGATAGTCGCTAAAAATCGATAGTTATCGCTGAGACATGATGTTGGCGACAATCGATTGAAATCATGTAACTATTGAGTTTACAAAAATGTTCTTTGCGGTGAATAGTATAAATAGTGGAAGAGGAGAGATCACTCCCTTTGTCTCGTTGTAAGACGGGGAAAACATGGCCGAGGACTTTGAGCTGTATTGTTATCCTGGCACTGTAAAATCGGCGGTATGGAAGTTTTTTGGCTTTCATAATTTCATACAATAATGGATACAATTGTGTCATAAACATAATTACATAAACCACACATACATCTTATAAAGTTTTCTTACAAACCGGTCCGATTGAACAATTGATAATCAATCGCTCCAGGCTTCCGATTAATCGATAGTGATTTTCTGTCCCGATTCCCAACACTAATATCTAACTACCAGCATCAGTAGAATACATATACTGAACATTTAAACTTTCCAGCTTGTTTTTATTGTATCCTAATATCTATTAAACTTGTATCATTCATATTGATTACAGGTCATTATTTGGTAAAATTAAATACTTATTTTTAACGTAGACAATAATATTACTTACATCACATGTGACTAGTCTGTGTTGATTACTTGTGATTTGATTAAGTAGTACATTTATACTTTATTGCCTTTTTTGATAAAAATGAAAATATCAAACTATGTTACTGACTTTTTACTGCTGTGTCCATCTGTCTCTGTTTGGTCCTGGCTGTGTGTCTCACTAGGTATTTCTTCACTGTCAGTCTCTCTGTCCACCTCCATATCAACCAGTATACCATTGGTCTCAAGGATTGCCACACATTGACCAATCTGTTTTATGTCCTCAAGCTTTCCTACCTGCCACATACAAATTTTCAATAAAATCATCGATTTACATGAACTTGATATGCTTTCAATTTGCAATACATGCATACATTCAAAGCTTCATCCAGTCTTTACTGCATAATCTATAAGCACTATATCATGCAAAATTCAATTACAATGCTATTTTTTTTTTTGCAGTTGAGCATTTTCCTGTTAATTGTTTATTCAATTTTACCATATATTTCTCTCTGGAAACCTCAAAACTAGTAAAATAAGGAGGTATAAAAGTAAAAATAAATTAAGTTGCTTATGATCACAAAGTAGCACATCATCTGGAAAACAGTTTCTTTACCAGGGACACTGAGCCATCAACTTCACTGTAGTTACTAGCAATATGACTGGGTTGGAATACTGGAGTGTTTAATACTTACCTACATGATAAAGAGAACTAAGTCTAACTAAATGCACCTGTCATTTATTTACCTCTGTGTAGTATGTGTATGGTGGTTCAGCAAACTCTACACCACTAGTCATCAGACAAGATACAGTAGTTACTATATCTGGTGTATGGAGACCAATATGCTGTATGCCTGGCCCACCATGCTCTGTCAGGAAGGTAGCCACCTGGTTTGGACCTGTGTTTACATATATTAATTAAATGGTACATCTGATGTTTTGATGACTAATCATACAATCTATTTCATTTGTCATTTAAACCAGGGACTGAATTTCATTAATCTAATATGAAGAGGAATCTTATAGGGTTTTAGATAACAAATATGGTACTAGTAGTTTTCAAGAGAAAGAAAATACTAGTCTACAGAATGTCATCTGCAGATACTTTCTCATGCATAAATGGATGAAATTGATTTTCTGGGTTTTTTGGGGACTTTTTTGGTAAATGTTATCATGTATAAATTTGGTAACATCTAAACACATCACATACACTTTGTACAATGTTATGCAAAAGGACATTGCGTAAGTGTTTTGGCTGTTTTCCCAAATAACTTTTTATGTAAGTGAAAATAGTTAATATAGTAAAAAAACTATTATCGTTAAGTAAATCTATTATAACCAGCTACCACAGTAAGTAATTTATCAAATCCATTAGTTACCTTTAAGAATATCAATACTGTTCATAAAACAGATTGATAACATAATTTATTAAATTAGTAACTACATGTATATTATTCTGTTGATGTTTAATGATTGTTAACTTATATCAATAATTCAGAACAACTTGCCTTGATCTGGTAATGCTTCTGCGATGACAAATTTGATACCATTGCCATCCTTAGACTGCTGGGGTGCAGTGATTCCAATTTCCGCACAATGCCAGTATTCCATCGCCTTCAGTCGAAGACCAATGTCTGTTGTGTTTATCACAAAACCATCATCTGCATCTTCATCACTGCAATTTCAAATGAAAAAGAAAATAGAATCAATATCTTCATAGGAAGATAAACCAAATCCTGGATTGATAATGTACATATATACTTGTATCATGTACATGTAACTATGTATTACTTGATGTGGTGTCAGAAAAAGCTTATGTTGTATTAGAATACTTATCAGATCATTGAATAAATAATAGTGTAAATACTTACTTAATAGATAATCATACACATTTTAGTATGTGTAACTACCAAAGTATGTCTTGAATGCCATATCAACCTACATTACCTTAAATTTGCAGCTTATTTTTTCTCATTGGACCTAAATCTTTAATCATATTGTTAATCATATTGATGCTCATGCATATAGTACATGTTTTAAAACATGTACATTAATAATGAAAACAAAATACAAAAAATGTGAAGCAAAACAAAGAAATCTCTACCCTAGGTTTCGCTTGATTTCTATACCATTCATTAAACATTTGTGCAGACAGATGTCCAGTTTTTTACAGCTGTACATCAAAGTTTTGAACTTTTGGTAAAATGCTACGCTGTACAGAAAATCAAACTTGTGCCAAAACAGTTCATATTCAACATTTAAACTGGATGAAATGTAACCATAACTCCAGATTTACTTGACTTATTAAAAGGGTAATGCTGTAAAAGCGATTAAAATGACACAAAGTGTAAAAGTAATATTGACCTGTTCATAAAAAATCTGGTCAATCCAAGGCAGTCCTCATACCACTGCAATACAGCTGATGATGTACCAACTTCACAAGCAAATGTTACGTGGTCAAAGTGAGTTAAATTCACAGTCTCTGATTCAGCTTTCTCAATTAAATGTACATCTTTCGTGGGAACAGTATCGAAGTAGGGTAGAAAAGCACCTTTGTATTTATCACAATTAAGCAAAGTATGTATCACATTTCCAACACAAGATTTCACAATTGCTAAATCTACCTCTCCAAAATTGTCTACAATTTTTGTTTCTTTCTTTAATATAGTTGCCCCACATGCTTTCAATCGCTGCAAGCACGATCCGACATTTTTGACCTTCAAAGCCACATTGTTCACCGTGTCGATTTCATCATAAATTTTAGAGGACCCATTTTCCTTCGTCTGTGTCCCTTTGTATTCTAACTCAGTAGATACTACATAAAAGTCATCAGTGCTTATAAAATCACAAGTTTTTTTATTATTCTGTGATGCGTGGTTTAACAACTTCGATTGTGTAACAACAAAAATTACGTTTCGTGATTTGAGAACCCATTGATTTGCGAGTGAACATGACCTTTTAGCGAACAAGACAAAGTTGTATTTTGAAACGAATTCCCGGGTAACAGCTTCTCCATCTCGGGTGAGAATTTCAATGTGATGAACGCAATCTGCTTCCATGTCATTGAACAATTCGATGAAGGAATGACTGTGAAGAAATGCTGTCTGTTTACTCTACCGGTGCGGAAGTAGTACAGGAAGTGGAACTCTTTTTTCCCTTATTACTATTTCCTTTATAGCGATGTCTCACTCATCTTTGCGCTTGATTACCTCGTAACCTTTGCAGTAAATAAGTGACGAGTTGAGCGAGACAAGATCAAGTGTAAGTTAACGCATAACACTTGTTGATCCGAAAGAAACTCCTGTAAACATTTGACATGAACACATCTATGACGATAAACATTGAAAGTGTTATTGATAAAAAATTAAACAAGCAGCGTCTATCTTTACATAAAGGTAAATAATTGACACATTTACGATTAAAATATGATTTTGGAATTTAAAAATATCTAAGGAAAAGTATTAGAATTAGCATTCAACACTTTTCCGTATATTAGTAAGTTCCTAATCTTCGTTAAACTCTGAACTGAAAGTTAACTCACTACACTGTATAACACACCTACCACCACATGCGAGCCGTTTGGATTATTCGATAGATGTATAGACTATAGCATCAATAAAATTTGCATGGATTCGGAAAGTTTATGCTTCCAGTGCGCGGAGTTGCTGCCTACTCGGGCTACTGTTTGAGGTCGTGCGACCATTGTAAGTAACAAAATTCTACTTGTAGCCTAAACACAGGCTGTTTTCCTTTATCAGTTTGACCAGGGATGTTTGTTTAATAATTTGAAATTAGGGTAAACCAACTGATCTTACTTTGCTTTCTGCAGGCACGTCTAGATACCCAGCACTACTCAATACTAACCCAATACTAAATAATTATTCCCTGGAACTACAAAATACTACTCTGGTTTTAATAAATATCAGTAAATAAATACATATTTTGACTTTGGTGGTGATTATATTTTGACTCTATCAATGACAATTTCATGAAATTTTTCAATTCAGTGTAAAACTCGCCAAATCCAGGCCTCCGATGTATACACAATAACAAACAATATGAGTTATACTTTACACACTGAGTCTCTACAGAAAACTGTTTCACAAATAACAACATCACACAATTGGGTAAAAAACTAAACCAATCTCATATAAATTCATGTACCAGTTGGAAAAATAAGATTATAAATATCTCACTGCCATAGAATTAAAACAAATATTTTATTGCATCTGGATGTTCACCATGAAGTTATAGGTTTACATAGAACCCAAATTGATAACCCAAAATTGAATATATGTAAAGATCAATCACAACAGTCATGTTTTACTGACTTTAAATGTGCATGCATATAAACCCCTATAATGATGTTTAAAGATTGAAATACTATATGTATCACAAGAGCCAAAGGTAGTTATATATGAATCCATGTGTTTTAGATCTACCTTGAAAATTTAATTTTAAACACAGGTACTGCATATCTTATTCAAAATCACTTTGAAAACATAGTACCGTATTCGACCCAATAAGAGCCCATGTCCCTATAAGCGCCCCTCCCCCCTTCAGATACCAATAAGTCTAGATTTACTTACGTTTTAGTCACGATCAAGAATTGTTTGAAGTCAGTTTATAAGGAGATGTACTCCAGAGAAACGTAAAAAAAAACCCCAGTTAATTTCCAGTCCACCAGCAACAGAGGAATGTCAATAAGTGTCCTCTGTAACCACTACCACAATTTTCCCACTATGCCTGATAAAAAAAATTAGCTGTTTTTGACAGTTCACTTGGAAAGTGAGCCACTGTTTTCCCTTCTTTCACAACTCTGATTGCAAACTTGTCAAACAGATTATTATCCTCAATAACTGTATCAAAGCACTGTCCTATGAATGGTTTTCAACACTCTCTATAAATATGATATCGTTCTGACGACAGACGAATATTCATACATAAAAGACATTTTTTCACACATTCCTAAACCACGTGGTAGATGACCTTTACCTTGGTGTCGGGTGCTCAGCCACAGTAACGATGACTGAAAAGGCATAGTCCATTACTTAACAGGTAAGACAGCCATTGATACAGCAGATTAAGAAATTATATTTTCATGTGTGATAGATTATCTGACAGAAAGAAATGAAGCAGTTAGATATCAAATGACAAATAAAATAGTTGTGCTAAAACAGGCAAGTATGAATGGAATTTTATATCTTTATCATAAAGAAATTCTCTTTCATGTCATCATGTTAAGATTTTCTGAAACAATTTATCGACGAGCACATAATGACAGAGTGCACCTTGTTACACAGAGGTTGACACTGAAATTATAGCGACCACAGACACAGCACAATCTCACAAAGGGGCCCGAACCAAGTCATATGAAATTTCTTTCAAGTTGAAAGTGATGGAGCTTGCCAAGGAATTGGGAAACAGCAAAGCATCAAAGCAATATGGTATAGATAGGAAGCGAATTCACGATTGGAGACAAAAAGAGAGCGAATTGAGAACCTCTTTACAAAACACCTCAAAAAGGAGACGGAAAGTTCCTGTTGGAGGCAGATTTTTTTAGCACTGAATGTTTTTCTTTTATATCTAAGATTGTCTCTAATAAGTGCCCCCCTTAATTGTAATTTTTTAAGAGTCCTGGGCGCTTATTGGATCGAATACGGTATATACTAGCAATGATTGTTATATATAATCATTGAAAATATGAACATTGATCAGGATTCCTTTGATTTCATTAGATTACATACATCACTTCATTTATATTATGATGAATATCTGTATTGAAGTTTCAAGGGGTTTATACTCACAAGTTATAGAAAAGATGGATCAGCATCATCATGATATTTTTTTTCAAAGTTTGTCGAGTTCAGGAAATAATAACTTACCCAAATCATATTTCAAGCATTACCTTAGGTGTAATGGACAAGCTTCCTTTCATTATTATCACATTATGATTCCATATAACAGCAAAAAATGTATACCTGTATGTGATTTGCATCCTCGATACTCCAAGGATTACAATCACTTTTGCTCTCTGCATCCCTGCAACAGGTCATTATCATTGTCTGTAACCAAAACTGGTCAGGACCTGACTATCATTGTCTGTAACCAATACTGGTCAGGACCGGACTATCATTGTCTGTAACCAATACTGGTCAGTACCTGACTATCATTGTAACCAATACTGGTCAGGACCTGACTATCGTTGTCTGTAACCAATACTGGTCAGGTCCTGACTATCATTGTCTCTAACCAATACTGGTCAGGACCTGATTATCATTGTCTGTAACCAATACTGGTCAGGACCTGACTATCATTGTCTGTAACCAAAACTGGTCTTGACCTGACTATCATTGTCTGTAACCAAAACTGGTCTTGACCTGACTATCATTGTCTGTAACCAATACTGGTCAGGACCTGACTATCATTGTCTGTAACCAATACTGGTCAGGACCTGACTATCATTGTCTGTAACCAATACTGGTCAGGACCTGACTATCATTGTCTGTAACCAAAACTGGTCTTGACCTGACTATCATTGTCTGTAACCAATACTGGTCAGGATCTGACTATCATTGTCTGTAACCAATACTGGTCAGGACCTGACTATCATTGTCTGTAACCAATACTGGTCAGGACCGGACTATCATTGTCTGTAACCAATACTGGTCATTACCTGACTATCATTGTCTGTAACCAATACTGGTCAGGATCTGATTATCATTGTCTGTAACCAATACTGGTCAGGACCTGACTATCATTGTCTGTAACCAATACTGGTCAGGACCTGACTATCATTGTCTGTAACCAATACTGGTCAGGACCTGACTATCATTGTCTGTAACCAATACTGGTCATTACCTGACTATCATTGTCTGTAACCAATACTGGTCAGGACCTGATTATCATTGTCTGTAACCAATACTGGTCAGGACCTGACTATCATTGACTTATCCAATACTGATCTGAACCTGACTATCATTGTCTGTAACCAATACTGGTCAGTACCTAACTATCATTGTCTGTAACCAATACTGGTCAGGACCTGACTATCATTGTCTGTAACCAATACTGGTCAGTACCTGACTATCATTGTCTGTAACCAATACTGGTCAGGACCTGACTATCATTGCCTGTAACCAATATTGGTCAGGACCTGACTATTATTGTCTGTAACCAATACTGGTCAGGACCTGACTATCATTGTAACCAATACTGGTCAGGACCTGACTATCATTGTCTGTAACCAATACTGGTCAGGACCTGACTATCATTGTCTGTAACCAATACTGGTCAGGACCTGACTATCATTGTCTGTAACCAATACTGGTCAGGACCTGACTATCATTGTAACCAATACTGGTCATTACCTGACTATCATTGTCTGAAACCAATACTGGTCAGGACCTGACTATCATTGTCTTTAACCAATACTGGTCAGGACCTGACTATCATTGTCTGTAACCAATACTGGTCAGGACCTGACTATCATTGTCTGTAACCAATACTGGTCAGGACCTGACTATCATTGACTTATCCAATACTGGTCAGGACCGGACTATCATTGTCTGTAACCAATACTGGTCAGGACCTGACTATCATTGTCTGTAACCAATACTGGTCAGGACCTGACTATCATTGTCTGTAACCAATACTGGTCAGGACCTGACTATCATTGTCTGTAACCAATACTGGTCAGGACCTGACTATCATTGTCTGTAACCAATACTGGTCAGGACCTGACTATCATTGTCTGTAACCAATACTGGTCAGGACCTGACTATCATTGTCTGTAACCAATACTGGTCAGGACCTGACTATCATTGTCTGTAAACAATACTGGTCATGACCTGACTATCATTTTAACCAATACTGGTCATTACCTGACTATCATTGTCTGTAACCAATACTGGTCAGGACCTGACTATCATTGTCTGTAACCAATACTGGTCAGGACCTGACTATCATTAACTTATCCAATACTGGTCAGGACCTGACTATCATTAACTTATCCAATACTGGTCAGGACCTGACTATCATTGTCTGTAACCAATACTGGTCAGGACCTGACTATCATTAACTTATCCAATACTGGTCAGGACCTGACTATCATTGTCTGTAACCAATACTGGTCAGGACCTGACTATCATTGTCTGTAACCAATACTGGTCAGGACCTGACTATCATTGTCTGTAACCAATACTGGTCAGGACCTGACTATCATTAACTTATCCAATACTGGTCAGGACCTGACTATCATTGTCTGTAACCAATACTGGTCAGGACCTGACTATCATTGTCTGTAACCAATACTGGTCAGGACCTGACTATCATTGTCTGTAACCAATACTGGTCAGGTCCTGACTATCATTGTCTCTAACCAATACTGGTCAGGACCTGACTATCATTGTCTGTAACCAATACTGGTTAGGACCAGACTATCGTTGTCTGTAACCAATACTGGTCAGGACCTGACTAACATTGTCTGTAAACAATACTGGTCATGACCTGACTATCATTTTAACCAATACTGGTCATTACCTGACTATCATTGTCTGTAACCAATACTGGTCAGGACCTGACTATCATTGTCTGTAACCAATACTGGTCAGGACCTGACTATCATTGTCTGTAACCAATACTGGTCAGGACCTGACTATCATTGTCTGTAACCAATACTGGTCAGGACTTATCCTGACTATCATTGTCTGTAACCAATACTGGTCAGGACCTGACTATCATTGTCTGTAACCAATACTGGTCAGGACCTGACTATCATTGTAACCAATACTGGTCAGGACCTGACTATCATTGTCTGTAACCAATACTGGTCAGGACCTGACTATCATTGTCTGTAACCAATACTGGTCAGGACCTGATTATCATTGTCTGTAACCATTGTCTGTAACCAATACTGGTCAGGACCTGACTATCATTGTCTGTAACCAATACTGGTCAGGACCTGACTATCATTGTAACCAATACTGGTCAGGACCTGACTATCATTGTCTGTAACCAATACTGGTCAGGACCTGACTATCATTGTCTGTAACCAATACTGGTCAGGTCCTGACTATCATTGTCTCTAACCAATACTGGTCAGGACCTGACTATCATTGTCTGTAACCAATACTGGTCAGGACCGGACTATCGTTGTCTGTAACCAATACTGGTCAGGACCTGACTAACATTGTCTGTAAACAATACTGGTCATGACCTGACTATCATTGTAACCAATACTGGTCATTACCTGACTATCATTGTCTGTAACCAATACTGGTCAGGACCTGACTATCATTGTCTGTAACCAATACTGGTCAGGACCGGACTATCATTGTCTGTAACCAATACTGGTCAGGACCTGACTATCATTGTCTGTAACCAATACTGGTCAGGACCGGACTATCATTGTCTGTAACCAATACTGGTCAGGACCGGACTATCATTGTCTGTAACCAATACTGGTCAGGATCTGACTATTATTGTCTGTAACCAATACTGGTCAGGACCGGATTATCATTGTCTGTAACCAATACTGGTCAGGACCTGACTATCATTGTAACCAATACTGGTCAGGACCTGACTATCATTGTCTGTAACCAATACTGGTCAGGACCTGACTATTATTGTCTGTAACCAATACTGGTCAGGACCGGATTATCATTGTCTTATCCAATACTGGTCAGGATCTGACTATTATTGTCTGTAACCAATACTGGTAAGGACCTGACTATTATTGTCTGTAACCAATACTGGTCAGGACCTGACTATCATTGTAACCAATACTGGTCAGGACCTGACTATCATTGTCTGTAACCAATACTGGTCAGGACCTGATTATCATTGTCTGTAACCAATACTGGTCAGGACCTGAAAATCATTGTCTGTAACCAATACTGGTCAGGACCTGACTAACATTGTCTGTAACCAATACTGGTCAGGACCTGGCTATCATTAACTTATCCAATACTGGTCAGGACCTGACTATCATTGTCTGTAACCAATACTGGTCAGGGCCTCTCTGTCATTTTCAGGTATGGCATGTCTTTGCATCATATCTCAGATTCACAGTAATGGTAAGAATCTGTAGTTGTATTTTTCTTTAGAACATCTTTTTATTGATGTAGATTTGTATTGTACAGCACTTTCTCCTGATCAGTGTGATTCCTTGCCAAATCTCTAATGGATACAAAAAGGAATTAATTGCTAATTGTATGGGTTTTCTCAGTAATGGCTGCATATTGACTGTTCTTAACCAGTGGTATGTTTGAGAGCATATACAATTATTGTTTTACATGTATATTATGTAAATGTAGGAATTTCTTACATGTAAATTGATGCAAGCTGGTAATTTAATGTTTGATACATATTTTTGTTGGTTGTTTTTTATTTTATTTCACCAAAGATAGTTCAAATTTCATTATTTTTTCATATAAAAGTTACAAAAATAAGATCCCTTTATGTTTTTTCATACAGTAAAATACTAAGGTAGTGAAATAAATTACCCTCTTAGTCACATATTTAGTTTATCATTAATCTTTATATTATATTTGTAGTACTACTGATAAAAGTTCATGATAAAAAGGGTGTTTTCTACCACCTTTATGTAACTGTAGGTACAATATTTTTACATATAGTTGTTCCAGTTCATGAATTGCTTTTTATCATACATTATTTCTCACATACCTAGAGCTTCCTTCAACATTCCCCAGTGATTTAGGTTAATTTATCCTCCAGATGTTTCACATTGACACGGTCTGATAATCCACAATGTAAATAGCTTGCCAATATTTATCTGACACCACCTAGTTAAAGGTAAGGTTACCAATCCTTTCAACTGTAAATAAAGATATTGTTTTGTTATCATATAAACATGCATAAAATTCTTTCTTCATTTCAGTGACCTAGATATTTTAACCAATGAATGCAGGACGTAGAAAGAAGACGGGGAAACTGGTAGTTGCATTACTGATAAGTGGACTGATATTGGAAGTGTTATATTTACATGTAGACTATCTAAAGGATATAAAAGGGACTTGAGAAATGGGGACATTCCACCAGCATGTAAGTGAGATCATATAAAAACTCTGTTTTACCTGAACACACTGAAACTTGTCAATTTTACACACAAAGTGAACATCAGTATTATGTCCAAAACACATATCAGTACAAGGCTACAATATCACAACAGAATTAAATAGAATTAGATAATATGAAAAGAGATCTTTTCAACAAATGTTGAAATGCATATATAAAAAGGAGTTTGGATTTAAAAAAATGACAAAAAACATCCTAGGAATTATAATAGCATTTGTAATTGATTACTGTGAATTACACTATATCTGGTTGAAAGAAAAGCGAAAAAAAATAAAAGAAAACAATATTCCGTCATTAATCATAAGCTTTGCGTACATGTACCGGTAATCAAATTCAAATCACCCTATGTCTGTGGTCTATCTGTCTGTCCATCATCCATTCATAAACAATTAATATCATCACTTTTCTTGAGAAGTACTGGTTGGATGGTTGGATCTTTCTTACATATCATTTGTATGTTCCTCTTAGTCCCTAGTTGTACCGGTGTGATTTTGGGTCAGATCAGAAACAAAAAGTATGGCTGACAGGTGACAATGTTGGATTTTTACACTGAATTTTGTTATCAGTATTTCTTCACAAACACTCTGGACGAATCTCTGTCAAATTTGACGTTTAGGTATCCCTTGCTCACTAGTTGTCCCTGTTTTGACTTTGGGACTGACCAAATAAAAAATGTTTTCCAGGCAACCATCTTGGATTTGGCAGTTTAAGATTTTTATCACTTTTATCACTTTTATTCTGCAAATGAATGTTATTTTATAATTTCTTATCATGAAGAACAAAGACAGAGAAGAGATAACAATGGAAAACATCCAACCTTTAAAGAACATATAAAGATAAAAACAACTGTGGGTATCAAGATCACTCTGGGATTTCTTGTTTTACCAAAGATATCGAAAAATGGAACTTTCAGGCCTAGATGTGCTGGAATTAAATAGTCTTACTAGACAGAAAAATCTTCAAAAGCATGATCAAAATTCTGGATTTCTTTAATTTCATTTAAGCTTTAAGTTTCTCATCAACATAAATTTCCATTTTAAGCAGGGACATCAAAGTGACCTTTACTCTCAACTTTTACACTTCACCAGAATATAATAGAACTTAGTGTGCCTTATTTTCTTTAACAACTTTAATACATGTAATGATAATTGTACAATTTGATGTCTTGCTGAGGTCAACTTGATTTAAAGAATGTTAAAAATGCGGAATAAATTACAGACAATATTGTATACTTCCCGGATCTTTAAGGGTTTGGCCAGGAGTTTTCATTTATAATGCTATTTTCCAGTTTAAATGGTGCAATAATATATACAGTCTGTGGTATCCTATCTGTCACAACATACCTGGTATGCATATTTGGAATGCGAAACAAGGTCATGTAACATGTGACGTCAATGTGTTATTTCAGTGATGACAATACTTTATTTACCTGATAAGACACTACCATACACAGGTCACATCTTTATTTATTGACAAATGTTTAAAATAATTTTGAAATAGATGCAACAACTGGACACGATTATATGTTTTATGTAGTCATGGTAACAACTTTTTTCAAGATGATGTATAACCTATAACTTTTAACTAGATTTTTTCATAATGTGAAATTTGGTGACAACAAATGTCAAAAATTCCACAAATGATTATTACATAACATGCATGATTTTGTCACTGCATTCTACACAAGGCTTGACACCCAATGTCCAATATATCAAATCAGAAATTTTAACAAAGGAAATAAATTAAAACCCCTCCAGACAGACAACAGGCAAACTTCATGATAAATGAAGAGTTTAACTTGAGGTACTATGTAGCCTTTGTGTATATGATTAATACAGGTGTTAAATGGTCGTTTGATTTGATGATTAACCTGTTATAATCACAATGTTTACAAAACAGAATAAGTTTCAGGCCCACTGTTATGACTTGTATAACAACTTGGCCCACGTATGCACACACAATGTGCATTTACCACAGATATTGTGAATATTTATATACATGATCAATGAAGTGATAGCAACGGCATTGACAAGTGAAATGTAAACTCTTCGAGGCAACCTGCCCCTTTATCAAGACACAAGTATTACATAAATTATATCACATACATAGAACATAAACAATTTCAAAGATATAAAATCTAAATAGAGAGTGGTGGTGTAAATTTAGGTGTCTCGATAATTCCTTTGGTCGATGGATGCCGAAAAAAAGGAACAAAAACCATCCCAAGTAATTTTATGTACTTGCAAATATCAAAATCAAGACGTGTATGCAAATACTACCATAACATTTCCATACCATCAGTTAAAGCATGTACATGATACAGACATTCATATTTAAAAAAAAAGAATGGGAGTTTCAATGCTCAAAATCCGCAAGTCATCTAAAGATAGGCTTTTACCAGTGAGTTGTTGATAGGATTTAGATTTTTTACTAATCAGTCATGTATATTGGCATAATTCTCTTGTTCATTGTACGATAGTTTACACACATACACATGTATGTAAAGAGTACATACGTGATGTGTACGTGTGTAAATACCTCTGTCATGAAACAATTTTATACCTCTGAAACTCACAAGCCAGATTCATGAAAAATTTTGAACATCTCTATTACAATATAGTATGAGCTATTCTTACCACTGTCATGTATACAGAGATGTATGTACATGACATTGATTTCGCCAGTCTCACTGTCCTGCGATGTGGATTTTCCACAAACTTAGTTTTATTTAAATGGATTTATTATCCCCTTCCCAACAAAGGACTTGTCAGATTTTGAAGAAATTTAGTTGGTACACTTGTTACCTTAATCCCTTGCCCAAAGGAGGAGTGCCAATTTGGGCCTTCTGGTGGCCATGACAAATACTTTTTATTTTTTGTCTATTAAAAACTTGAGGCCAGACGGTAATGACATGACATTAATCTAAGGTCAGCTCAAGGCCGTTCAGTTGTTATAGGGGGGACAAGTGGGGGATCAAATTCATAATTATTGCAATAATTATCAAACTAAAATATATATATTTTTTTGTAGTTTTTTCTCTTAAATGTCATTTGATGATATATTTTAAAACCTTCATTAGAAAAAATGACCAAAAAATATGCCATTGTTGAAAAGTAGGTCACGATTAACAGTGAATTCTGCACATATATAATGAGGCTGCAGTGACCTGATTGGCTGATTTTTTTTACAGTTTTCCATGTTGCTCATTAAAATGTATATATTTTACAGTTGAACATGGGTAGTGGATCTTGATGATTATGACCTTGTTACTTATAGTTTTTATATAGCAATATATGGTGTTTAGTAACTTGGAATATTTAACTTTAAGGCATGGTTATATGATATATGAACCTGCTTGTTTACATTTGTCTGTGTAAACCATGCTAGCATTTGAATAAGGAGACCTGATACATTGAAATCTCATTTGTATACTTGTGTCACTGCAGCTAGATATGTCAAACACAGAGAAAAATATTTTATTCTCCCTTGCAGATAAAAATAAATGATATTCAACCTTAGGCTTAATGGTAGCAAAATTTGTAGATGAATTCCTTAGCTGTAAATACTACAAAAGTTATCACTGTATGTATAGGCAAGTGTGTGTATCAGATGCCATTGTGAATTTGTTTTATCAGCTATACAGCAGCAGAATTATTCCAGTCTCAGGTAACTTATATGGGGTGGTTTAAAAGGTACAGGAATTGTGATATCAAATTAACACAGTTTTAAATTTGCATACAAAGATTTCATGCTTGCTGTTATATAGCTTTGTAACATGTGCATAAAGCAGAAATGAAGAGGAGCAATTTCTGAAGCCAGATTTCTAATGAAAATTGAAATATTTCTGAATCATTCATTCTTTTATCTACTGTGCTGGTACATGTAGCTGACATATTTCAGCCTGCTACATATGCAACACGCTTAAAGGTTTGTTACATTACCAAGTTAGTGGTTGTTGTGATGTATCATGTTTTGTCTATACTTAATATTGATTTTATCATCCTTGTAATAACAAAATCGATAGTACCTGGACTATTGTGTTTATACTAAAACAAAATTATATGTTACATCATGCGAGGAAATGAGAAATCTAGTATCTGGTGTACTATTTGTTCTTAAATAGGGAATATATCCACTCATTACCACCTTTTAGCAATTCAGGAGACAGGTTAGGTATTTTGTGAGGAAGGCATACCTTTCATGAATCTCAAGTTAGTTTCTATTTCAACTGCTTTTACTGTATCACATAGTTTAGACATACCAGTCCTATTATAATCAGTCATAATTCCATAAATTCTTGTCATTGGTTTACCCGATACTTAAGGTACTATTTGTGAAAGATTATAGGTGCATGAACATATTTGTCTGAGTCTTAAAATTACAAACAACTTCACGGCAGATAAATCTTACACAAATAAAATATATAATTGGCCAATATTTTAGTATAACCTAAGATGAGATGATTTTTGTGTTACACAGATGGATATGTCACATGAACCTACACCCTTTGAGAGAACTGCCCCAAAATTCACAGAGCTGAATGACTTGGCTGTGGATACGGTATGTTATATTATTTATAATGAAGTTAAAAAAATTATTAATCAACTGGCTGTGAAAAAGATAGACAAATTCCTAAAAAAAGTGAAACATTGTTGTGTTTTAAGTGCCCAAAGTCATGGTCACAGTCACCTTTGCTATAAATAGAAAGTCATCAGCTATTGATTCAATTCAAACACTCAGCAGCTTCAGTCTTTCATGGAATTTGGTCAAACTTTATGCAAAGATCAAGAATAAGTATACTTTAGACATTATTATGTTTCTGGGGTTGCGGGTCAAGGCCTTGGCGGCGCGGGCAGTTATGTCTTACAGACATTTCCTAATTTAGCATGTGTCTTATTATCAGACTTTATTAGTAGTTATTAACTAATAAGTAACAATTCAATGAAGAGCCATTAATGTTTAATTTTACTACTCTGTTATGCAGGTTGGTGGTAAAATCTGTTTTGCAACTGATGACTATTTTGGAGTTGCAGAAAATTTATTAAAGGTAAGGACTTTTTACAGCTTCATTATGATCACACATGCTGTAAATGTGGTCCCCCATAGTCAATTACCTCAGTATATTTACTATAGCATTTATAGATGGTATACACCTTATTTAAGCCAGTTGTGTATTACACCATGTACAACCTCCATCCTGGGGTTGCTAAAGTGTGATCACCATGGGATGTATGTTTTAGCACCTCTAAATGAGATCAGGTAGGAAACTGTTTCAGTATCACTCCTAGATGATATTTTTATTCAAATCACCCTCCGTCCATGGTCCGTCGTCTGTCCGTCCGTCCGTCCGTCCGTCCGTCCGTAAACAATTCTTGTTACCTCTATTTCTGGAAAAGTACTGGATGGATCTTTCTCAAATTTCATATGCAGGTTCCCCTTGGTCCCTAGTTGTGCATTGTACCTTTTTTGAACTGATTCGTATCCAAGATGGCCGACAGGTGGCCATCTTGGATTTTGGAAGTAAAATTTTGTTACCGCTATTTCTGGAAAAGTACTGGATGGATCTTTCTCAAATTTCATATGCAGTTTCCCCTTGGTCCCTAGTTGTGCATTGTACCTTTTTTGGACTGATTCGAATTCAAGATGGCCGACAGGTGGCCATCTTGGATTTTGGAAGTAAAAGTTTGTTACCGCTATTTCTGAGAAAGTACTGGATGGATCTTCCTCAAATTTCATATGCAGGTTCCCCTTGGTCCCTAGTTGTGCATTGTACCTTTTTTGAACTGATTCGTATTCAAGATGGCCGACAGGTGGCCATCTTGGATTTTGGAAGTAAAAGTTTGTTACCGCTATTTCTGGAAAAGTACTGGATGGATCTTTCTCAAATTTCATATGCAGTTTCCCCTTGGTCCCTAGTTGTGCATTGTACCTTTTTTGGACTGATTCGGATTCAAGATGGCCGACAGGTGGCCATCTTGGATTTTGGAAGTAAAAGTTTGTTACCGCTATTTCTGAGAAAGTACTGGATGGATCTTCCTCAAATTTCATATGCAGTTTCCCCTTGGTTCCTAGTTGTGCATTGTACCTTTTTTGGACTGATTTGAATTCAAGATGGCAGACAGGTGGCCATCTTGGATTTTGAATGTAAAAGTTTGTTACTGCTATTTCTCGGAAAGTACTGGATGGATCTTTCTCAAATTTTATATGCAGGTTCCCTTTGGTTCCAAGTTGTGCATTATACCTTTCTGGACTGATCCGAAATCAAGATGGCTGACAGGCAGCCATCTTGGATTTTGAGAGTAAAATCTTGTTACTGCTATATCTGAGGAAGTACTGGATGGATCCTTCTGATATTTCATAGATATTGGTTTCCCTTGGTCCCTAGTTGTGCATTGTACCTTTTTTGGACTGATTTAAAATCAAGGTGGCCCACAGGCAGCTATCTTGGATGTCGACAGTAATACAGCACAAGCATATTGTCCATTATCCACCTGTAACTGACTGCTATCTAATAATACTTTGGGATCTTTTTCAAATGATATTTGCTAATAGGTGCTTAATAAAAATATCTTGTGCCATCATTGAGTACATTCAATGAAGACCAGTTCATGAACAGTTACAACACCTGTAACAAACAAAAAAAAAATAAACAAATCTTCTAGAATTGAAAACAGATCCTCAAATGGTGGGAGCCAAGATCCCTCTGGGATCTCTTGTTACGTAGTGCACACACACCCACCAATAATTTGAGACTACTTCATGTCTATACCTGTGGCTAAATATTAAAATTTCAAATGTATTAAATATTTTAAACAAAGAATTCTTTTTAACAAAAAGTTTGAGTCAATTTATTGGAGAATGTAGAAATCTTGTTTGTTTGTGTTTCATGCGGACACTTGGGGTTGGACATCTGGGAGCATTGGGGGCTCTAAGTTAAAGATTTACAATGGAATAAAGCTACATTTGAAGGCTGCCATTTTTGTTATGTACACTGTTTAAGCTGGTTTGATTACCAATTACTGAATCCTTTTGATATGTAGCTTGAATTAGTAATATAAATGATTGTGTACATAGAACAACCTGATGCAATTACATCAATTACATCAACACCGTCAAGGATGTACAGTAAAACACGTTTATAACGAACCTCTAGGGACCAAGAAATTTAGTTTGTTATACACATAGTTCATTATACACATAAAACGAATTTTGGCGAGCAGTCTCGCATAATTCGTTATAGGAATTGTACATGCAATAAAAATGAAAGGGTCTTATTTCATGATTATATTTTATTACATGTATGGTATGTCCAAATAAACAACAATTCTTATTGCTTAGGAAAAACTCAAATAGTTACATGAAAAAATTACAAATGACGGTTTGCTTTTTGTTACTGTCTGAGATCTTGATAGGGGGCTTTTGAATGGTATGTAATGCATTGAATTAAAATTGTACTCAGTGTTGTTGCTTGAATTTCGAAGCTATCTGCAATATCCTTGTTAGCCTTTTCCCCATTGTCTTCTTCACAAATAATTTGGTATTTGGTTTCAATTGTTAACGCCTTCTTCCGCTTATGAGACGGCGACAACGAAGCCATTTCCAAAATGACGACAATAAGAACAGAACGCAAAGATTTTATATCGATAAAATCAGTTCAGTGACTCAAAACTCAAAAAACAATAGAATGCAGGTATGTGTAACAACAACTCACTTTATTCGTCAATCTTACATGTACGTAATTGAAACTTACCTGGACATGGGTCTCAATACAGGACACACAACTTACTTCACTCAGGTGTGATGACTGCCGGAGGCCACTATGTTATATGGTTATTAATTAGCACAGATATTCACCTGAGCGGACCCAAAAGCTGCTACATTATAGACATTAATTCGTTATGTAAAATTTGTTAAATATTGTGATTTTAACATATAAAGGATAGTGCAATTGACGGGGAATGAAAAACACTACGTTATAACCATTAATTCATTGTAAGCGTGTTCGTTATAAACATGTTTTACTGTAGTATCATTGGTATTTAGAGGTAATATCCTGCTAACTGATGCTCAGCCATGTGAGACATGCTATGATACCTAGGAAATTTTCACTTTTTGAGGTCATCTGACCCCCAATGTTCAAGATGATCTAATGCTATCGTGCATGCCAGGCACTGTCCCTAAATTTTCCTTTAAAACACTACTCCTGCTGAACGGCTCTGTGTACTTTAACCAAACTTTCTCTGAAACTTCATTTGGATGGGAAATCATTTCTTAAATTCAGAAAGTTGATTTGACCCAGAGAAACCTGGGCATAGGGACTGAAAAAGGTAATTAGACAATGCTTTGCTTCAAAATGCTAATCTTCCTTAATGCTTTAATGGATATCATTCAGATTTTATTTTGAAACATCATTAGAGGTGTGCAATTAACTCTTTAATTCAGAAAGGTCTCAAGTTCCATTCACATCATTGACAAAAAATATTTGGAGTTTGATTTTTTCAGGAAATAAAAAAAGATATGTTATTTTTCAGCCTGATCAAAACTTCATCATGGTAATCAAGATAGCCATTTTGTAACATGATTGTGCAACAGATTTTCATTTATAGAACTTACAATTTATGTTTTTCTGATACTTTCAAGGAATGTTCAAAATTTGAATTCATCAGATTTGTCAGACCACCATCTGCAAATTCTGTGATTTGTCCATCCATTCATTGATTGTTAGATGCTGTTAGGGCCATGGCTCTCTTGTTTATGTAAATTTTAACAATATTGAACAATATTACAGTAAAAAGAATAGTTAAAAGATATGTAATTGTCAAACAAACATTTATTGAGCCCATTGATCTCTGCTCACTCAGTAAGTAAAGTAATGAATGTAATATTGATCCTACCTACTCAACTGGCTAGATTGGCGGCAGCCTATGATTTGAATGACTAAATTTTCTACTGGATATTTTTTCTTTCCTCGTTTTAAAGCCTATTGAGGACACAAAGTGGAGAATATATATTCTATTTTGTTACAGCCTTCAGCACCAGTGTTTAAGGAAGGCCTGTTTACAGAGTTTGGAAAATGGATGGATGGATGGGAGACCAGGAGAAAAAGGATGGCAGGACATGACTGGTGCATCATACAGCTAGGTATATATGTTCTCTCCTCAGTATACAGACTCCAAACTTTGGGAATAATAAGATCATTCTCTCCCTTTGGGGTGTGGAATCACAACTCAAATGGAAATGTTATTAACTCAAAAATCATCCTTCCAGGATTGAGATCTTTCTTCCCCCAAGGACTCCTTGTCTCACCATCGAATTAGTGAATGATTTTTCGCAAACCTTGCTTGCCTAATGTTTTTGTCCAGATGCATTTAATCATTGACATGCTGTTAAAGTTCTTGGCTATGTTCTACTTTCAAGTGTTGCTGGCTGTATCTATGCTGACTATAATACTAATGACTTCCAGGTGTTGCTGGCTGTGTCTATGCTGACTATAATACTAATGTCTTCCAGGTGTTGCTGGCTGTGTATATGCTGACTGTAATACTAATGACTTCCAGGTGTTGCTGGCTGTGTCTATGCTGACTATAATACTAATGACTTCCAGGTGTTGCTGGCTGTATCTATGCTGACTATAATACTAATGACTTCCAGGTGTTGCTGGCTGTATCTATGCTGACTATAATACTAATGACTTCCAGGTGTTGCTGGCTGTATCTATGCTGACTATAATACTAATGACTTCCAGGTGTTGCTGGCTGTATCTATGCTGACTATAATACTAATGACTTCCAGGTGTTGCTGGCTGTATCTATGCTGACTATAATACTAATGACTTCCAGGTGTAGCTGGCTGTATCTATGCTGACTGTAATACTAATGACTTCCAGGTGTTGCTGGCTGTGTCTATTCTGACTATAATACTAATGACTTCCAGGTGTTGCTGGCTGTATCTATGCTGACTATAATACTAATGACGTCCAGGTGTTGCTGGCTGTGTCTATGCTGACTATAATACTAATTTCTTCCAGGTGTTGCTGGCTGTATCTATGCTGACTATAATACTAATGACTTCCAGGTGTTGCTGGCTGTGTCTATGCTGACTATAATACTAATTTCTTCCAGGTGTTGCTGGCTGTATCTATGCTGACTATAATACTAATGACTTCCAGGTGTTGCTGGCTGTATCTATGCTGACAATAATACTAATGACGTCCAGGTGTTGCTGGCTGTATCTATGCTGACTATAATACTAATGACTTCCAGGTGTTGCTGGCTGTATCTATGCTGACTATAATACTAATGACTTCCAGGTGTTGCTGGCTGTATCTATGCTGACTATAATACTAATGTTTTTCAGGTTTTGCTGGCTGTATCTATGCTGACTATAATACTAATTACTTCCAGGTGTTGCTGGCTGTATCTATGCTGACTATAATACTAATGTCTTCCAGGTGTTGCTGGCTGTGTCTATGCTGACTATAATACTAATGACTTCCAGGTGTTGCTGGCTGTGTCTATGCTGACTATTATACTAATGTTTTTCAGGTGTTGCTGGCTGTATCTATGCTGACTATTATACTAATGTTTTTCAGGTGTTGCTGGCTGTATCTATGCTGACTATAATACTAATGTCTTCCAGGTGTTGCTGGCTGTATCTATGCTGACTATAATACTAATGACTTCCAGGTGTTGCTGGCTGTGTCTATGCTGACTATAATACTAATTTCTTCCAGGTGTTGCTGGCTGTATCTATGCTGACTATAATACTAATTTCTTCCAGGTGTTGCTGGCTGTAGCTATGCTGACTATTATACTAATGTTTTTCAGGTGTTGCTGGCTGTATCTATGTTGACTATAATACTAATGACTTCCAGATGTTGCTGGCTGTATCTATGCTGACTATAATACTAATGACTTCCAGGTGTTGCTGGCTGTATCTATGCTGACTATAATACTAATGACTTCCAGGTGTTGCTGGCTGTATCTATGCTGACTATAATACTAATGACTTCCAGGTGTTGCTGGCTGTATCTATGCTGACTATAATACTAATGACTTCCAATGACTTCCAGGTGTTGCTGGCTGTGTCTATGCTGACTATAATACTAATGACTTCCAGGTGTTGCTGGCTGTATCTATGCTGACTATAATACTAATTTCTTCCAGGTGTTGCTGGCTGTATCTATGCTGACTATAATACTAATGACTTCCAGGTGTTGCTGGCTGTATCTATGCTGACTATAATACTAATTACTTCCAGGTGTTGCTGGCTGTATCTATGCTGACTATAATACTAATGTCTTCCAGGTGTTGCTGGCTGTGTCTATGCTGACTATAATACTAATGACTTCCAGGTGTTGCTGGCTGTATCTATGCTGACTATTATACTAATGTTTTTCAGGTGTTGCTGGCTGTATCTATGCTGACTATTATACTAATGTTTTTCAGGTGTTGCTGGCTGTATCTATGCTGACTATAATACTAATGACTTCCAGGTGTTGCTGGCTGTATCTATGCTGACTATAATACTAATGACTTCCAGGTGTTGCTGGCTGTATCTATGCTGACTATAATACTAATGTTTTTTCAGGTGTTGCTGGCTGTATCTATGCTGACTATAATACTAATGACTTCCAGGTGTTGCTGGCTGTATCTATGCTGACTATGATACTAATGTCTTCCAGGTGTTGCTGGCTGTATCTATGCTGACTATAATACTAATGAATTCCAGGTGTTGCTGGCTGTATCTATGCTGACTATTATACTAATGTTTTTCAGGTGTTGCTGGCTGTATCTATGCTGACTATAATACTAATGACTTCCAGGTGTTGCTGGCTGTATCTATGCTGACTATAATACTAATGACTTCCAGGTGTTGCTGGCTGTATCTATGCTGACTATAATACTAATTTCTTCCAGGTGTTGCTGGCTGTATCTATGCTGACTATAATACTAATGACTTCCAGGTGTTGCTGGCTGTATCTATGCTGACTATAATACTAATGACTTCCAGGTGTTGCTGGCTGTATCTATGCTGACTATAATACTAATGACTTCCAGGTGTTGCTGGCTGTATCTATGCTGACTATAATACTAATGACTTCCAGGTGTTTGCTGGCTGTAATCTATGCTGACTATAATACTAATGTTTTTCAGGTTTTGCTGGCTGTATCTATGCTGACTATAATACTAATGACTTCCAGGTGTTGCTGGCTGTATCTATGCTGACTATAATACTAATGTCTTCCAGGTGTTGCTGGCTGTATCTATGCTGACTATAATACTAATGACTTCCAGGTGTTGCTGGCTGTATCTATGCTGACTATTATACTAATGTTTTTCAGGTGTTGCTGGCTGTATCTATGCTGACTATAATACTAATGTTTTTTCAGGTGTTGCTGGCTGTATCTATGCTGACTATAATACTAATGACTTCCAGGTGTTGCTGGCTGTATCTATGCTGACTATAATACTAATGACTTCCAGGTGTTGCTGGCTGTATCTATGCTGACTATAATACTAATTTATTACAGGTGTGGCTCGATGTAACTAGGCTGACGCTATGACTGTTGTGAAGCAGGTGTTGCTGGCTGTAGCTATGCTGACTATTATACTAATGTTTTTCAGGTGTTGCTGGCTGTATCTATGTTGACTATAATACTAATGTTTTTTCAGGTGTTGCTGGCTGTATCTATGCTGACTTTAATACTAATGACTTCCAGGTGTTGCTGGCTGTATCTATGCTGACTATAATACTAATGTCTTCCAGGTGTTGCTGGCTGTATCTATGCTGACTATAATACTAATGAATTCCAGGTGTTGCTGGCTGTATCTATGCTGACTATTATACTAATGTTTTTCAGGTGTTGCTGGCTGTATCTATGCTGACTATAATACTAATGACTTCCAGGTGTTGCTGGCTGTATCTATGCTGACTATAATACTAATGACTTCCAGGTGTTGCTGGCTGTATCTATGCTGACTATAATACTAATTTCTTCCAGGTGTTGCTGGCTGTATCTATGCTGACTATAATACTAATGACTTCCAGGTGTTGCTGGCTGTATCTATGCTGACAATAATACTAATGACGTCCAGGTGTTGCTGGCTGTATCTATGCTGACTATAATACTAATGACTTCCAGGTGTTGCTGGCTGTATCTATGCTGACTATAATACTAATGACTTCCAGGTGTTGCTGGCTGTATCTATGCTGACTATAATACTAATGTTTTTCAGGTTTTGCTGGCTGTATCTATGCTGACTATAATACTAATTACTTCCAGGTGTTGCTGGCTGTATCTATGCTGACTATAATACTAATGTCTTCCAGGTGTTGCTGGCTGTGTCTATGCTGACTATAATACTAATGACTTCCAGGTGTTGCTGGCTGTGTCTATGCTGACTATTATACTAATGTTTTTCAGGTGTTGCTGGCTGTATCTATGCTGACTATTATACTAATGTTTTTCAGGTGTTGCTGGCTGTATCTATGCTGACTATAATACTAATGACTTTCAGGTGTTGCTGGCTGTATCTATGTTGACTATAATACTAATGACTTCCAGGTGTTGCTGGCTGTATCTATGCTGACTATAATACTAATTTCTTCCAGGTGTTGCTGGCTGTATCTATGCTGACTATAATACTAATGACTTCCAGGTGTTGCTGGCTGTATCTATGCTGACTATAATACTAATGACTTCCAGGTGTTGCTGGCTGTATCTATGCTGACTATAATACTAATGACTTCCAGGTGTTGCTGGCTGTATCTATGCTGACTATAATACTAATGACTTCCAGGTGTTGCTGGCTGTATCTATGCTGACTATAATACTAATGTTTTTCAGGTGTTGCTGGCTGTATCTATGCTGACTATAATACTAATGTCTTCCAGGTGTTGCTGGCTGTATCTATGCTGACTATAATACTAATGACTTCCAGGTGTTGCTGGCTGTATCTATGCTGACTATAATACTAATGACTTCCAGGTGTTGCTGGCTGTATCTATGCTGACAATAATACTAATGACTTCCAGGTGTTGCTGGCTGTATCTATGCTGACTATAATACTAATGACTTCCAGGTGTTGCTGGCTGTATCTATGCTGACTATAATACTAATGACTTCCAGGTGTTGCTGGCTGTATCTATGCTGACTATAATACTAATGTTTTTCAGGTTTTGCTGGCTGTATCTATGCTGACTATAATACTAATTACTTCCAGGTGTTGCTGGCTGTATCTATGCTGACTATAATACTAATGTCTTCCAGGTGTTGCTGGCTGTATCTATGCTGACTATAATACTAATGACTTCCAGGTGTTGCTGGCTGTGTCTATGCTGACTATTATACTAATGTTTTTCAGGTGTTGCTGGCTGTATCTATGCTGACTATTATACTAATGTTTTTCAGGTGTTGCTGGCTGTATCTATGCTGACTATAATACTAATGACTTTCAGGTGTTGCTGGCTGTATCTATGTTGACTATAATACTAATGACTTCCAGGTGTTGCTGGCTGTATCTATGCTGACTATAATACTAATTTCTTCCAGGTGTTGCTGGCTGTATCTATGCTGACTATAATACTAATGACTTCCAGGTGTTGCTGGCTGTATCTATGCTGACTATAATACTAATGACTTCCAGGTGTTGCTGGCTGTATCTATGCTGACTATAATACTAATGACTTCCAGGTGTTGCTGGCTGTATCTATGCTGACTATAATACTAATGACTTCCAGGTGTTGCTGGCTGTATCTATGCTGACTATAATACTAATGTTTTTCAGGTTTTGCTGGCTGTATCTATGCTGACTATAATACTAATGACTTCCAGGTGTTGCTGGCTGTATCTATGCTGACTATAATACTAATGACTTCCAGGTGTTGCTGGCTGTATCTATGCTGACTATAATACTAATGACTTCCAGGTGTTGCTGGCTGTATCTATGCTGACTATAATACTAATGACTTCCAGGTGTTGCTGGCTGTATCTATGCTGACTATAATACTAATGTTTTTCAGGTTTTGCTGGCTGTATCTATGCTGACTATAATACTAATTACTTCCAGGTGGTGCTGGCTGTATCTATGCTGACTATAATACTAATGTTTTTCAGGTGTTGCTGGCTGTATCTATGCTGAATAATACTAATGTCTTCCAGGTGTTGCTGGCTGTATCTATGCTGACTATAATACTAATGTCTTCCAGGTGTTGCTGGCTGTATCTATGCTGACTATAATACTAATTTCTTCCAGGTGTTGCTGGCTGTATCTATGCTGACTATAATACTAATTTCTTCCAGGTGTTGCTGGCTGTATCTATGCTGACTATTATACTAATGTTTTTCAGGTGTTGCTGGCTGTATCTATGCTGACTATTATACTAATGTTTTTCAGGTGTTGCTGGCTGTATCTATGCTGACTATAATACTAATGACTTCCAGGTGTTGCTGGCTGTATCTATGCTGACTATAATACTAATGACTTCCAGGTGTTGCTGGCTGTATCTATGCTGACTATAATACTAATTTCTTCCAGGTGTTGCTGGCTGTATCTATGCTGACTATTATACTAATGTTTTTCAGGTGTTGCTGGCTGTATCTATGCTGACTATTATACTAATGTTTTTCAGGTGTTGCTGGCTGTATCTATGCTGACTATAATACTAATGTTTTTCAGGTGTTGCTGGCTGTATCTATGCTGACTATAATACTAATCCAGGTGTTGCTGGCTGTATCTATGCTGACTATAATACTAATGACTTCCAGGTGTTGCTGGCTGTATCTATGCTGACTATAATACTAATGTTTTTCAGGTGTTGCTGGCTGTATCTATGGGGTCGATTTTGACACCTGTTACTTTACTGGGAACTACTGTCCTCAAGTCTCAATTCAGGGTGCAAATCTGGATCAAGGTTTGTCAAAGACATTTTCTTATATTCTTTAAGCTACACATTAGCCAATTATACATGATCATACTGTTTTGTTTCTGTTCTTCGTCACAGTCAACCTTCAGATAACCAGCAAGAAGACAGTAACTGGCCTTGAACCTGTCCTCACTTTCCCTGTATACCTCCATCATCGCAGAAATGGCATGTCACACACTGTATGGCAGTACCAATATGGTTCCTTACCAGCAAATCAACCTTTTTTATGCTCTCAGCTGTTGAAAAATGGCCACATGTTTACGACCAACCTGCTTTCTTCAAGGAGTTAGCAGCCTGTGACTGATGGGTATTTCAGGCCCCCTGCTAGTGGTCTGCATGGATGAACTTACCCAGGTTTTAGCATTTACAAAGCTGGCAGTGAGCATCTTGGACATCACTTCACACATACGGGCAAGTTCGAGCCAGATTCATGCTGGGTGCAGGCAATCTGGGGTGAGCTGCAGCTAGTAAATGTAGTCACCACAAGTAGCATGCAAGCTTTGTGTGACAGAGCCTTTACAGGGGCAGTGTGCTAAATGATTAATGTTCACTGAACTAATGGAAATATAAAACTTAATACTATATCCTTTTCCTCACAGCCAGGTGTATTTAAGCTCTGCTAATCAATGACCAGTTGATTTTACCCTGATTTTACAGGTCTGCCTGACAGACTCAGTGATATGGGAACAGAGGCCACAGTACAGGAAATAACAGACATAGCTAAACTTCAATCTGAGGTAAAGACACTCAATGATCATGGACAAGGGTACATGTACATCTTATTTTATTTGATAGATTACTTAAAAAAATTTATATGACTTCTCAATTAAAAATTTTATTTAGGTTTTTTGTGAAAATGTTTTTGAAATGCTTTTTATTTTGGAGCAAAATTGAAATCTACCACTTCCACCATGGCACCCATTTTGAAATCTGTTTTGAACTTTATAGAAATTCTACTGAGCCGATTCTTGTTTCATTTGTTCCAGTCAGTATCTATATTGGTACTGTGTATAGTCCTTACCAATTATTGTTTCTGTGGAGTTGTTATCAGTTCTAGTATGGCAACTTTGGCAGCCGTCTTTATTTTCAATTCTGAAATCCTACTCTAATCCCACAGAACTGATTTAATTAAAAATTACCATGTTGATAATATTGTAGAAATGACAAGTATGGTCCTGACAAAAAGTGACGACTGAAACAGCTGATTGATGAAATTGAAAAGAATATTTGCCAAAAATAAAGTTGCTTAGGTCGAAGATTGCTTTCAAAATACTGTACACCTATCATTTAAACAAGTCATGATTAATAATTTGTTAAGAAATGTCACCATACTTACAGGAATCAGGAAATATTAAATGTCACCATACTTACAAGAATTAGGAAATATTAAATGTCACCATACTTACAGGAATTAGGAAATATTAAATGTCACCATACTTACAGGAATTAGGAAATAAGAAATGTCACCATACTTACAGGAATTAGGAAATATTAAATGTCACCATACTTACAGGAATTAGGAAATAAGAAATGTCACCATACTTACAGGAAATATTAAATGGAGGAAATATTAAATGTAGGAAATATTAAATGTCACCATACTTACAGGAATTAGGAAATATTAAATGTCACCATACTTACAGGAATTAGGAAATATTAAATGTCACCATACTTACAGGAATTAGGAAATATTAAATGTCACCATACTTACAGGAATTAGGTATTAGACAATTATGAGATAATAATTTGTGCCATGTTGTGATTTATAGACATATATGATGTATCTGTATGTAGGTGGGAGTTACAAATGATTTATTTTGCTAGTTTGGCTTATACAAAATATAGATTAGACATGTGATGCATCTGTCACATTTAAAAGGCAGCCATACCACTCTAAGTGATGTTTAGACATTGTGTAGGCTAAATGGTCAACATTGGTAAAGCATTGTGAAGTTTTGATCTGTACTTGACATTCAAATTCATTTGTGATGTCACGCAACATTCAATTTGGTAGGTCAATGAAAATAATTTGTGATTTGTTATACTTTGCGATAATTGCTCATTTACACATCTGGCCCTAATGACAATTGTTCATGACATGAGTGATCCAGATATGTCATGAAAATGATGTTAAGATCAGAGATCCTAAGAAAGATATTTCTGAAATTATTTTTGAAAAAGACATTAAATTATCATGCTTTTATTTCTTTATGATTTATAACAGATAACACTTCTGTATTGAACTTTGTTACAGTATTGAATATGGAGTATGGAATAGTATTATAGGCCACAAAATTCAAAGCTCAAGATTAATAAATGGATATCATGGGAAGCAACTGCTGTATTCTTCACTGATATAGCTTTTTGTAAGAGTTATCTCCCATGGCTCAGTGTAGTAACAAGATATAATTGGTTGACTTCAAAATATAAATTGACTTGGGTGTCATTACATATTATTGATTGACCTTGTTATATAACACTATATCACCAAAAAAAACTGCAACCAGTTTTCATAAAAAAATTCTTAAGGTATATAACGGCTGCCTTGTGTTTTGTTAATGATAGATCACTGTCACCACGATGACTTTATTGATTGTTGTTGTTATAATAGGATTGGACAGAGATTTTGACCAAAACACCGCTACGCCCAGGTTATCTGACATCATGCCATAATTACTTTGAAATTCACAACAGATCACGATGGACTCATCTAAGAGTGAACATGTTTCCAGGTAATTAACGTGATTCAGCTGTGTTTTCTTCAGACTATCAATATCTAAAATTATTGCCATCAGTCATCATATGTCAGATCATCTCTAATACATTTTATTAACAGTTCATATTTGTGATTTGAAAACTTAGTTTGTGGGATATACAATGTATGAAAATGGAAGAATATCCACCTTTAGCCCGAAGCTTAATTGATTAGAGTAAAACTCACTTGTGTCCAACACGCTTGAATTGAATACATCAGATCAGTTGAATGTTTTGTTCAGTCCCGATCTTTTTCTCTTCTTTATCTTAGAGAATTAAACACGGATAATTGGAACACTGTTAAGTCAAATACTGCTTTTATGTCAAAGATATTTTGTGATCCATCCCTTCTCAATTCTTCCAACACTTCCTTGTTAAATGTTCAGGCGACATCTTGTCTCAGGTAAAACTTTCCTGGCTATGGCCTGAAGGACTGAGTGTCGTAGGTCAGTTGTATCAGTGTTAACGAGCTCTATTGTAATTATTGATTGAACGTTAATCCCTGGGTTTACACAGGTGAAACAATTTATACAGAATTAGGCAATGAAACTTAAAACAAAATACAATGTAAACGCACCAGTGCAGATTAATGAAAATCCTAGTTTAGCATTGATACGTTTGTTTATGATTTGAAATATATATACATGTACTTATACAAACTGCAAGTTGTATTTTATTCTATTTTACGGTCATGCTCAAATGGTGCTGTATATGTAAGTTTATTTTTCGATGACATTGCCGCGGCCTTAACCTTTTTAAAACTGACCTCAGTGATATTGATGTTATGTCAATATAGAATGTTCACGAGTATTTATTTATTGAGTTTTGTTTTTAAAACATTTTTGACAGGCCTTAATGATATATATATATATAAATAAGAGTTTATTATTTGTATTACTTTAGGTTTTGATTACGCTATGTGGGTTCATATCCACACAATCACGAGTGTTTCACATTACACTTTTTATTTTATATTCGTACTTATAAATGTTTATGGAAACAAAACACTTTTAGTGTATAAGAAACTTATTTGTTACTGTCACAACATGCAATGGGACACATATTCAGTTAACAACCGACGAAAATATGGTCAATTTTCGATGCACAATGTCTCTGTTCATAGAAACACGGCAAAGTCGAACCTTCAGATAAGTTGAATATTTCATTTGGTCTTGTCAACTTTGACTGATCCATGTTTTACTGAATATATAATATGTATTCCATTAAAAGATCACAAAATGACATGTTCTCAACTCTGAGTTGTATCATTGCTTAGATAACCTATTTTAAAGAATATAAACTCCATCAACAATCACATTTCAGATGGTGGTATAGCTAGATTACGAATATATGGGCGAGCAAAACGGGACTGGAGTTCTGTGCCACATGATCAGGTATGTACATGAAAACCTAGACTAAATTATCATCATTACTTACAAAATTTACCAACATCCAATACACAGTACCTATACAACCACAGAATGATTACATTCAGGGCAGTATCACTGAAATTACACCACAAGGAAAAGTGTCACTCAATGTCCCAGTGCAACTGTCACATACAGTATCTCTATTTCACAAAGTACAACCAGCATACATACTATCATCATCATACAGTAGCATCATCACACAGTACCAGAATCAATCACACACAGTACTACCATCACACACAGTACCACCATCATACACAGTACCACCATCATACACATTACCACCATCATACACAGTACCACCCTCACACATAATACCACCCTCATACACAGTACCACCATCACACACAGTACCACCCTCACACATAATACCACCATCGCACACAGTACCAACCTCATACACAGTACCACCATCACACACAGTACCACCATCACACACAGTACCACCCTCATACACAGTACCACCATCACACACAGTACCACCATCACAAACAGTACCACTCTCACACAGTACCAACCCTCACACAGTACCACCATCACACACAGTACCACCATCACACAGTACCACCATCACACACAGTACCACCCTCACACAGTACCACCATCACACATAGTACCACCTTCACACACAGTACCACCATCACACAATACCACAAACACACACAGTACCACCCTCAAACACAGTATCACCCTCACACACAGTACCACCCTCATACACAGTACCACCCTCACACAGTACCAACCTTCACACAGTACCACCCTCTCACACAGTACCACCCTCACACAGTACCACATCACACACAGTACCACCACACACAGTACCACCCTCACACAGTACCACCCTCACACACAGTACCACCACCACACACAGTACCACTCTCACACACAGTACCACCATCACACACAGTACCACCATCACACACAGTACTACCATCGCACACAGTACCACCATCACACACAGTACCACCATCACACACAGTACTACCATCAAATACAGTACCTTTATCACTCACAGTACTACCATCACACACAGTACCACCATCACACACAGTACCACCATCACACACAGTACTACCATCACACACTAACTTTATCACTCACAGTACCACCATCACACACAGTACCACCACCACACCCAGTGCCACTCTCACACACAGTACCACCATCCCTCACAGTACTACCATCACACACAGTACCACCACCACACACAGTACCACTCTCACACACAGTACTACCATCACACACAGTACCGCCACCACACACAGTACCACTCTCACATACAGTACCACCATCCCTCACAGTACCTTTATCACTCACAGTATCACCATCCCTCACAGTACCTTTATCACACAGAGTACTACCAGCATCACACCATTAATCACATATCATTTATTTTGCATGTCTCAGAAGAAACATATTCACACTAATGAATTACCTACTGCAATGTTAATCAATCATGCAATGTAATAATGAGACAGTTTTGTGTAGCATTACTAATGGTGTTAACAATAGCTGTTGAAAAATAAATTGGATTTTTTACTGAACCCAAATTGACACCAGAAAGCTGTGCAGTTTTGTTCCTGTTGTTGGCATAGATACATTATTGATAGTGTATATAGTTATGTAGGTGTATTGAGATAATTGTGTCTATATGTCAGGGTCTAGTTTATGGTAAAGTCTTGTTAACTCTACATAATGGTTACTTTCCTCATTTTAGCTTTGATTCACATGATTTTGAGAATACAGTATATGTTAGATTTAGTCATTCGATATCAGGATAGAAAAATATCAATGCAGTTCATTACTGCAAGAAACTTTTGAGCTTTTATTTATTTAAGTGAAGACTAGCATCAACACACATACAAGTATAATTATCACCTCACTTTTTATAAATTACAACCATTTGTTTATAACTGTAAAGAGTATATATATCACAATTCTCTTAAAAGATTCCAGACTCTTTTTTGATAGAACATTGGCAGGTATCTGATGTACATTTATTTACTAGTACAATGTTTGTTATATGAGGTGTACCATAGGTCAAAGAGAGGTCATTTATCTTAACCTTGTAATTAACCTATACATGCATTACAATCAGCATGCTACAAGAAGAATATTTGGGTTTAACAGCAATTTTTTTTCCCTTTTTATATGATCATTCTCCAAAGCAGAATTGAGAAAACAAGTTCTTTAATTTTGTTTTTATTCTAGTAGATAAATATTCGACCATTCTTAAATTAAATGCTGATAAATCTACCCATGTCCACCCTACCTCAAGCAACAACAACAAATCACTGAAAGAGAAGAAAAGGTTTGAAGTACTTGTATTGTTTTCAGTTGACAGATTTAGTTGCCATGGAGAATGGAGGGTTGTGTATTGGTTACAGTGATAGTCATTTTGGTCATGCTCGAAATCTGATTCAGCCAGGACGTGCAGAAACAATGGCAGATGGATGGGAGACCAAGAGGCATGTATGTATATCAACATATACAAAGTCATGTGTCAAATTTAATAGAACCTTCAAATGACTTCTTCTCTGTAACCAAAAGGCCTAGAATCATGATATTGGCTGGTAGACTCCTTGGAAGAAACCTTAAAAAGTTTGCAATAAGAAATTTCATTACCCATATTTATTGTCAGAGTAGTCCAATTTATCAAAACTGTCAATCTAGTTTTTCTGATTTAACAAAAGACGTAGTATCACGATATTTAAATTTTAGATTCCCTGGATGAAGCTCGTTTTCTTGAACTTGGATGAAGTACAACAGGAATTAAGAAAAGAAATGACATTGATGAATTCTTATTTATCAAGACTTTAATGATGTAGGATATTTATTTATTTGTGAAAAGCATGGAATACTAGATGAGCAGTTCAGGTACCAGATCTAAAGATGGTGGTTCATGTTACTGAGACTAGCTCGGTAAATGATTTATAGACCAAAGAAGTTTCAAAAGATGTCATTTTAACACTTACAATATCAACCATATGACACATTTGAATCACTCAGAATCAAATACTGGTAAATACCACTTTAGTCTTGTAAAAACCCTTCCTTATTTTTTTTTTGTGTAGCTCTTTACTTTACTAAGTGGTTTCAGTGTTGTTAACTAAGTTTTTATTTGAAATCATGACATTGGCACTGACATAGATTTGTTGTAGTCAAGAAAACAGAACAGACCTTGATAATACCCAAACTTCTTGGAAATATGACAATAGCTTATTCTCTTGAAAGTCTCTCTATGCTTTCATTACATATAATTTATGACAAAATTGCAAAAATATATTCGATGATAGAATATATATCCTAATGATGATATGTGAGAATCATTACCATAGTTTTTCACAATCGCAATTATAAGGAGGAAACTACACACTGATAATGGGGAATGTCTGATGCTTCACTCTCTGTATGTACATAGGAAAATATGTAATGTATGTACATGCAAACTCGTAAGTTTTGAAGACTGGGTGACTGGGGATCAAAGCAGTGTATTATAAGACCTTGTAAAGATGTGAATGAAATGCATAGTTTCATTAAAGCTTTTCATCCTTTTCAACCTCTTAATGATGTACTTAAAACAAACAAAAAAAAAGAATAATTCATGACACACTCAAAAGCTGTGGGCAATGTTTTTTTCTATTTACAATACAGGGATGTAAATTCTTACATGCAGGTTAGATATTTTTAGCCATACAATTTGACCAGTTCTATTTTTGAATATTTCTTACATATTTTATGAAATGTGTACACCACCTTGCAGATTTACAGAAAGCTGAATGGAAATAATATTAACCAGTGATGACGGATACTTACAGGTTTTACTTCAAACAAGAATGCAGAAAGGCTGTTTTTTCAGGATAGGCTTATTTTTGAGGTCAGCTTGTTTCCAAGTTGTAAGGGTATACATTTCAGTTAGTAAGAATGACAGTGTTAGATATCTTCTGATCTGAAAATTAATTGACAGCATGAAGCTCCCAGGGGTGAATAGTTTTACATGTTTATCAAATGGAAGTTCCTGTCCCATATTTAGAAAATAAACGTGTAGACAGACTCGTCAGGTGACTCTCAGATTAAAACTGGAATACATGTAGTTACAAATATTTTCAGTTTAAATGCTAATTTTACCATTTAGGAATTATTGCTGGTCCTAACATGATGGATTGGTGCCATTTCTAACCTCAGGGATTGGTGCTGGTCCTAATGTAGCCCTGGTAAAATACAAGCTGCAATATGCCACTCAGCTAGAGAGAACTTCTCCATAGCTGGATTGGTTGAGCGCCAGACTAGTAAGCCAGGGGTCCAGGGTTCGATTCCTAGCAGAGGCATTAAAATAAATAATGACCTCTGTTACACTGGCGCCCATGTAGGGACCTGGGATTAGTACTTAGCCATGCCCCACCAGCATCGCTGTAACCCCTGGAAACTCAAGGACGAGTTATTTCCTGGAAGGGGAGTATGTAGCCCTGGTTAAATACTAGCCGCAAAATACCACTCGGCTAGAGAGAACTTCTCTTTAGCTTGATTGGTTGAGCATCAGACTAGTAAGCCAGGGGTCCTGGGTTCGATTCTTAGCGGAGGCATTGAAATAGATAATGACCTCTGTTACACTAACATTAGGAATGGTGAATGCTGGGCCTTACATTAGGGACAGATACTGGTCATTACATCAGGGATGGGTGCTGGTCCTAAAATAAGGGATGGCGAATCCTTGTCCTTACATCAGGGATGGGTGATGGTCCTTACATCAGAGATGGGTGATGGTCCTTACATCAGAAATGGGTGATGGTCCTTATGTCAGGGATGGGTGATGATCCTTACATCAGGGATGGGTGATGGTCCTAAAATCTGAGATGGGTGATGGTCCTTACATCAGGGATGTGTGATGATCCTTACATCAGAGATGAGTGATGGTCCTTACATCAGGGATGTGTGATGATCCTTACATCAGGGATGGGTGATGGTCCTTTCATCAGGGATGGGTGATGGTCCTTACATCAGGGATGGGTGATGGTCCTTACATCAGGGATGGGTGATGATCCTTACATCAGGGATGGGTGACGGTCCTTACATCAGGGATGGGTGACGGTCCTTACATCAAGGATGGGTGATGGTCCTTACATCAGGGATGTGTGATGATCCTTACATCAGAGATGGGTAATGGTCCTTACATCAGGGATGTGTGATGATCCTTACATCAGGGATGTGTGATGGTCCTTACATCAGAGATGTGTGATGATCCTTACATCATAGATGGGTGATGGTCCTTACATCAGAGATGGGTGATGGTCCTTACATCAGGGATGTGTGATGATCCTTACATCAGGGATGTGTGATGATCCTTACATCAGGGATGGGTGATGGTCCTTACATCAGGGATGTGTGATGATCCTTACATCAGGGATGGGTGATGGTCCTTACATCAGGGATGTGTGATGGTCCTTACATCAGGGATGGGTGATGGTCCTTACATCAGGGATGTGTGATGGTCCTTACATCAGGGATGGGTGACGGTCCTTACATCAGGGATGTGTGACGATCCTTACATCAGGGATGGGTGACGGTCCCTACATCAGGGATGTGTGATGGTCCTTACATCAGGGATGGGTGACGGTCCTTACATCAGAGATGGGTGATGGTCCTTACATCAGGGATGGGTGATGGTCCTTACATCAGGGATGGGTGATGGTCCTTACATCAGGGATATGTGATGATCCTTACATCAGGGATGGGTGATGATCCTCACATCAGGGATGGGTGATGATCCTTACATCAGGGATGGGTGATGGTCCTTACATCAGGGATGGGTGATGGTCCTTACATCAGGGATGGGTGACGGTCCTTACATCAGGGATGTTTGAAGATCCTTACATCAGGGATGGGTGATAGTCCTTACATCAGGGATGGGTGATGGTCCTTACATCAGGGATGTGTGATGGTCCTTACATCAGGGATGTGTGATGATCCTTACATCAGGGATGGGTGATGATCCTTACATCAGGGATGTGTGACGGTCCTTACATCAGGGATGTGTGACGATCCTTACATCAGGGATGAGTGACGGTCCCTACATCAGGGATGTGTGATGGTCCTTACATCAGGGATGGGTGACGGTCCTTACATCAGAGATGGGTGATGGTCCTTACATCAGGAAGGGGTGATGGTCCTTACATCAGGGATGGGTGATGGTCCTTACATCAGGGATATGTGATGATCCTTACATCAGGGATGGGTGATGATCCTCACATTAGGGATGGGTGATGATCCTTACATCAGGGATGGGTGATGGTCCTTACATCAGACATGTGTGATGGTCCTTACATCAGGGATGGGTGATGGTCCTTACATCAGGGATGTTTGAAGATCCTTACATCAGGGATGGGTGATAGTCCTTACATCAGGGATGGGTGACGGTCCTTACATCAGAAATGGGTGATGGTCCTTACATCAGGGATGGGTGATGGTCCTTACATCAGGGATGGGTGGTAGAGATGTGTGATGGTCCTTACATCAGGGATGGGTGATAAGGATGGGTGATAGTCCTTACATCAGGGATGGGTGATGGTCCTTACATCAGGGATGGGTGATGATCCTTACATCAGAGATGTGTGATGATCCTTACATCAGAGATGGGTGATGGTCCTTACATCAGGGATGGGTGATGGTCCTTACATCAGGGATGTGTGATGGTCCTTACATCAGGGATGGGTGATGGTCCTTACATCAGACATGTGTGATGGTCCTTACATCAGGGATGGGTAATGGTCCTTACATCAGAGATGGGTGATGGTCCTTACATCAGGGATGGGTGATGATCCTTACATCAGGGATGGGTGATGGTCCTTACATCAGAGATGGGTGATGGTCCTTACATCAGACATGTGTGATGGTCCTTACATCAGGGATGGGTAATGGTCCTTACATCAGAGATGGTTGATGGTCCTTACATCAGGGATGTGTGCTGGTCATTACATCAGGGATGGATGCAGGTCCTTTCATGTGAGGGATGGGTATTCATGTTGTTTACATAGGGATGAATACAGGTCCTTACAAAGGGTCCACTATTTCCTTGGTAGATAAATGAAAGGTCGAATAATAGGAATATTGCCATTACTATTTAGCAAGAATGTTCATTGAATGTATACTAATAATAACAAATGATTAAATAGCTGCCTCCCAATTGCATTGCTTTGTTTCACTGTATTAAAGGACTTGTAGTGAGATTTAATGTGTGTCTGTCAGCAGGGTGACATTGGTTCTCACTTATAGTGAGCTCACATGTCAACAACCACAAGTTTAGGTCAGTTCCTCATGGACTACCACTACTAACAACCCAATCATGTGTTACTTTGTTTTAGGCGGTTGAGAAGGGGAGGAAATGGGAAATGATTATATATTTTCTGTAGAATTTGTATATGTCAGTGTAAGTTACATAAAAAAATTGAATTAGTCTATGAAATGAAAGCATATTTTGAATTATTTTACTGGTATTAGTGATACTGAGTAACTGTACCTGCATTTTGTGTTACAGCCAGAGAGACCAGCAATACTGACAGCAGATGCACAGGGTATCCTGCATGTTCCAGGTAGGAACCCCTCTTGTCACCAAACAAATATTATATCCTTTATTTGTACTTTTTGGTTTGAGACAGACACAATATTTCATACATACTGACAATGAAATGTCTGGATGAGGCGTGCTGCAGTGATATGATGTACCCAAACTGATCTATGTCCTTTAGGATCAATCTCTACACAAATTTCTACATGTCTTGTAAATGGCATATGTACTTCTATAACAATCTTCCTCAGAATATAGACTCACCTAAACACTTATAAAGTACAATGGAGTACATATGTACTTCTCTAACAATCTTCCTCAGAATATAGACGCACCTAAACACTTATAAAGTACAATGGAGTACATATGTACTTCTCTAACAATCTTCCTCAGAATATAGACTTACCTAAACACTTATAAAGTACAATGGAGTACATATGTACTTCTCTAACAATCTTCCTCAGAATATAGACGCACCTAAACACTTATAATGGAGTACACATGAACTGATTGGCAAGTATACAAAGTATAGATTTTCAAAATATAAATATTAGATTGAGAAGAAATGTATATATGTAAAGATTCTGTACTTATTCAATTTTGTTTCATAGTTCAGTTTTTAGGTTTTTTTTTCATTCAGTTTGTTTAGGATTTAAAATTTTTTAATGGTTGTCTAAGCAAAATGCTGAATCACTAATTCAGCCTTTGAATTGGTCAAGCAGAGAGACAGGGGTATTTTTCACTTTGATAACTTAAGGATATTTGATGGGTACCTAATTAGTATCATATCTATATTTCACCTGTATGACAGAATATTCATATTTAATGATGTTTAATGAGAAACCATTAGATTTTTTTTCACATTTATCACATTTTTACACACTCATCAACAACAGGCCATATTATGGTATACCTTGCCATCCATCCATCTGTCCATTCAGCTGTTTACTTGTCCTTGTTAGTGCTGTCTTACCACCATATATTGACTGATTGTAATGAAACGGTCTACAAATATTCCATGTCAAGATAGTTTGGCTTTCAGAATTTTCTGATCATTTTTAGCAGAATTATGCCCCTTTTATCGGCAAATATAGGCATTGTGTAGAATGAGAAAGAAGTTGTATTTTTTTTTATTTGAGTTGGGATTTCCTAAACGGCAGTTTGACGTCATTTGATAATTTAATGCTCGTTGTTGTTTTCATGAAAATGTTCTTGTCAGGAAATTTCTTCTATCAGTTTTCAGCGAATTTCTTTCAAACTCGTTAGGCGTGAACACCATGACATGATGTCGTCTTTTCCTACACAGCCATTTGTATAGGGTTGACCATTGAGACCAAAAAAGCTAACATGACAGTATTACAATAGTAAAATTACTAATGTGATATTATTGTGATAGTCAAGTGACTATTTTGATACTATCAAAATAGTTTCTAACCTTTAAAATATGTTTAAAATATGACTTTTTTAACCCTGAAGTAAAGCAAAGTCACTAACCATTAGACTATGTATAAGAATGCCCAATTAATTTAGCAAATGCTAAAACTGAAAAAGATATTAACAACTTTTATAAAATGAAGTAGGTTGCACAGTGATATTTGTTACAGTTAATTATAATGTCATATTATATATTCTGAACATAAACATGCTTTTCTGTGATATTTATTGTGAAACTCTTATCAGCTGGACACTCTTCATACATCATTGGCAGAGCTGTGTTGAAAATTATAGTATAACCCTAGTAACTAAAGGTATATAATATAGCTATTTACAAAATGAAGGTGCCTGTAATTTCACAAGCGGAAGATTAATTGGGATCAGTTTTGTGACACTTTGTCATTACAAATATACTGTCCTTCTGCTTTATCTTTTTGGCCTTTTTATTGTGAACAATTTTTGAAATGTTGCTTCCTTCTGCCATGTTGTTTATCGAAATGGGTCATTTCAGGGATGGGTTTAAAACATGGACTCAGAGTTAATGAAGTCACCACCTCCCCTACTATAGTTTGTAGATTTAATTAGATCATATTGGAAACAATAACAATATAACACTTATTTAAAATATAAACACTCATCAATATAATAACTTGTGCTTAAAATTCTATTTCCTCTCTAAGTAGGTGAATTCTTGTAATTTAACACTACCCCAATTGAAGTCACAAAGACACTTTCATAAATAAACAAAGTTTTTGCAGTTATTTGGCTATAACTTGCTGGAAAATCTTGTATTCAAGTAGCATTCTTGTTTAGTTATAAAAATATTGTTAACTATCGCGATAGTTGAACAAACTATCGCGATAGTTGAACAAACTATCGCGATAGTTATCAACCTATTGCTATCAAGAGCAAAGCTATCGCCACACCTTGGTAAATTGATCTATTGTTACACGATTACATTTGATTCAACACTATTTTGAGGAGTTATTACCCTTTGTTTTTTAGCATTTTGATTTTGTACAGAGATCTCCTCCCACAGTTATTCACCAGTATGCTAGGCTCTACTTGTATACGCATTACATGAAATAATGGATTCTTAATGAATTGTGATCTTACAACTTTGAAAAGAGTTATTGCCCTTTTTTGTCCAGATATCTGTTTCTTCAGTTTTGAACCAATTTCTTTGAAACTTAGTAGGCTTCAATACATATAAGCACATTCTAGGACATCATATAGTTTTACGTTACACTTGACAATCAATCAGGTCCATTTTCAATAGACTTTGCTATGTAGTACTCTACATTTTACCAACAGATTTGATGGAAAATCAACTGATTAAACCATCGCTTCATAAGTGTCTGAACAGGAAAGTTTGCAAATTTCAGTTTAATTACTAAAAAGCACTGCTCTGACCAATCAAAACTGAAAAAGCAATATCATCAGTTGAAAAGTGATATCAGATTGAAGTTATTCACTGATATTATGTTAAGACTTTTAGGGATATATAAGGAAAAGTACCCTTTTTATGACTAGGGGGAAAATAGTCTGAATTGTAGTAGTTCAGTACATTGTGATTGACTATTTAAACAACTTTGGAATAATGATTCTTTATAAAACAGAAAACATACAAATTTTTAAAATTCTACTCAAAAAGCTCTAAAACTGAAAGATCAAAACGTAATTTCTGTTGAAAAAGGGGAAATTCAATCAGAAAAATGTTAAGTCATGTAAAATAGAGAATGTATTGTAAGATTGAATGTGAATTTTAGCAGCTGGGAGAAACTACCCAATACCAGTAGTGAAACAACCCAAGATAGATGTCTGACTTTCTGTTTTCTTTCTTGGTAAGCGTTGTATTAGTTTTCACATTTAAACATTTTAAAATCTGAAGTAATATTAATGACTTTCAGGGGAAGACTGGTGTATATTCCGACTGGGACATCCAGGCACTGTTACAAAGGTATAGTAGTCCTCAATAAATGTATCCTGTGACATATAATAAGTCCTGAGACATGCAGGGTCTATTACAAAGTGCATTAGTGTAGTGGGAAAACTGACAGCTAAGTGCTTAAACATCTATCTGTTTTACATCTATCAATATTTTGTAAAGACATCGACAGCTTAGGAAGCTTCTTTCCAGTTGTTATTTGACAGGTGAATATTGTTCCACCCCTGTGGTTCTTTTGTTATATCGGAAAGAAACATTGTATTGCACACAAACAGAACAATATATTAAATATTTTCATGGTATTCAATAATGATAAATTATTATCAAATTTTCAAAAAGGAAATGAAATTTCTCAACTTTCATGAAATTTGTGAGTGTGATTCACAAGTTTAAATATCATTTCATATAATCGAGGTTATTGGTGTCCATGACAAAAATATTTCAAATATTTGAATTTAGCTATGACTATAAAATTAAAATATGTCATGTTATATTGTTGCAATTTGAAATCACTTAAGATATTCTACATTTAATCACAGACGTAAAAATCAAATCAAGATACACCTGTATCAACATTCTGTTGCAAGCTGATGATTGGTTCAGGGATATTTTGATATTGTTAGGGATAAGTCATTTCATATATCCCAATAAATTGTTAATGTCCATTTCAGAGTAATTTAACTTCTGTAGTAAATCCAGATTCAAATAGCTGACTGTTATCCTATTAAAACATCTACATTTAAGTTATTGAGGACTTGATCCAATTTTATTTTCATCATATAATTTTTATTCATTTCAGATTGAGATTGATACAAACCATTTCAAAGGAAATTTTCCAGATTCTTGTCGCATTGAAGGTATGCAATCTGTCATTAGCTATTAAACCTCTAACCCCTCAGTTGTAATAATGGTATAAACCAAATGAATGAAAGACCATAGCTACTATTATAGTATAGGTGGAAAAATACATTTTGCCCTGAGGTTATAGTGTAAATTATCTGAATAGAGAAATATCATCTAATATCATGATGCCTCATTAAAATAAGAATTGAAATATCTTTTAAACTAGTTTTTATTCCATGCTATTAACACTGACATATTGATTTCAAGAAGTGTCACAGAAGTGAACATCTGCCTGTATCTGGTCATTTAAATGTTTGATACCTTGCTGTACTTTAAAGTGATGGAGGTCATATGGTGTAAACACTTTGACTTGTAAAGGGCAAATCTTATAATAATATTATTATCCTTTATAAATCTGTTGAATTGAAGATGATATGAAGCCAGTCGTCCACCTGTCTTTCTACAACTACTATCCCATTAAACTGTAGAAATCACTGTATTTTATATTTAATCCAAGACAAATCATCAGATCTAGGGGTTTTCATGCAGAAATTATACAAGTATAGTAAAAATCCATCGCAGGAGGTTTGGAGTAACCATTTTGGACAGGGAAGATGACTTTGATAAATTATAACATGAGAGGGAGAGAACAGAAAGCTGAGGCAAGGGAGGAAGATAATGTAATTCAAAATAGAGGGGAGGGGACAAAATAGTAAACCTAACAGTGGAAAACAGTAATCCCAGGCAGAGGGGAGGGGACAAAATAGTAAACCTAACAGTGGAAAACAGTAATCCCAGGCAGAGGGGAAGGGACAAAATAGTAACCCTAACAGTGGAAGACAGTAATCCCAGGCAGAGGGGAGGGGACAAAATAGTAACCCTAACAGTGGAAGACAGTAATCCAAGACAGAGGGGAGGGGATAAAATAGTAACCCTAACAGTGTAAGACAGTAATCCCAGGCAGAGGGGAAGGGACAAAATAGTAACCCTAACAGTGGAAGACAGTAATTTCAGGCAGAGGGGAAGGGACAAAATAGTAACCCTAACAGTGGAAGACAGTAATCCCAGGCAGAGGGGAAGGGACAAAATAGTAACCCTAACATGGAAGACAGTAATCCCAGGCAGAGGGGAAGGGACAAAATAGTAACCCTAACAGTGAAAGACAGTAATCCCAGGCAGAGGGGAAGGGACAAAATAGTAACCCTTACAGTGGAAAACATAACCCAAGCAGAGGGGAGGGGACAAACTAGTAACCCTAACAGTGGAAAACAGTAATCCAAGATAGAGGGGAGGGGTCAAAAAAGTAACCCTAACAGTGGAAGACAGTAATCCCAGGCAGAGGACTTGAACAGAATGATAACTTCAGCCAAGGAGGAGACAGAATTGTCACTCCTGATAGGAGTAAGGACAGAATGATTAACTCCAGGCAAGGAGGGACAGAATTATCACTCCTGACAGGAATGGGGAAAGAATGATTAACTCAAGGGATAGGTGGAGACAGAATGATCCATACTGGATGTGGATAGAATGATCATCTCATATGGAGGGACATTGCAGAATGCTATCCACAGAGAGGAAGGGACAAAATGGTGACCACAAACAGGGGAAGGGACAGAATGGTGACCACAAACAGGGGAAGGGACAGAATGGTGACCACAAACAGGGGAAGGGACAGAATGGTGACCACAAACAGGGGAAGGGACAGAATGGTGACCACAAACAGGGGAAGGGACAGAATGGTGACCACAAACAGGGAAAGGGACAGAATGGTGACCATAAACAGGGGAAGGGACAGAATGGTGACCACAAACAGGGGAAGGAACAGAGCAAAAACCATAAACAAGGGCTGGAACAGAATGGTGACCACTGAATTGATTTTTTAGCAAGCATCAATATCATTTTGAAAAATTCACAGTGTTGTACAGGTACAGTCATGTAAATAACATACATTAATTATTGTTGCCTTGCATCATTACAGGTTGTTGGGTAGGAGTTGATCATGAGGAGGGACTAGTCAAGAAGTATGACACCCACACATGGAGACCATTACTTCCTGTCAAAAAATTATATGCCCACAAACAGTCGATCTATGAATCAGATGAATTGTTTAGCTGTGGAATTATCTCCCATGTACGTCTTTCTATTGCACCAGATGGAGGCATCAGTAGAATGCGACTGTGGGGTTACATTACAGATATTCCTAACTCCAAGTTGTAGAAGCTTTGATAATTACTTGTTCCATCACTTCATCAGATGATGGACTATTCAATTTGCCCTACATTCATCGTCAATCATCCTTCCATTCTTAAGTAACTCCTGTTAACACAAAAGTACTGCATGGCTCTCCTTGATCCCTAGTTGATTTTGAGACTGATCATAAAAACAAAATGGCCAACAGACAGCCATCTGAGAAGGATCTTTCCCAAATTCTGTATGTAGGTTTTGCTTGGTCCCTAATTGTGTCCTTCTGATTTTAGGACTCTCAGAAAAGCAAAATGGCTGACAGGCAACCCTCTTTCATTTGGCAGTTAGAGATTGTTCTCTCTTTTTTGTAAGAGTAATTTTGGAATGTAATATAATAAAAAGCACAAAAAGAGAAAAGAAGGAAAAGATTCAACTTTTAAATAACAAATTAAGACCAAACAATGGTGGCGCCAAGATGGCTTAAGGATCGTCATACTATAAGTTCACTTGTGGAGAGTTGGAAAAATGGAAATAATTTGATGATTATGAATATCTTAGAATGAAAAGATGATGATTGTGAATGATTTTGAAATGGAAAACAGATGAAGCAAAATTGAACAACCCAAAGTAATACTGTGTTTAATAGGATGATGAGTCAGCATTACTTGTTTAAGCTTTTATTTTTAGTTTAATACATAAATGCCATAGCTTAACTTTGAAAGTTTTTGTAAATTTTGTAATGGAAAGGGTAAAATGTAATAATAATCCAAAGTTTATTTGACAATCATTGGTATTAAGTGTTGTTATACAGTGAACCTTCAGTGTTTATATACAGTGAACCTTCAGTGTTTATATACAGTGAACCTTCAGTGTGTTTATATACAGTGAACCTTCAGTGTGTTTATATACAGTGAACCTTCAGTGTGTTTATATGTGTGTTTAATACAGTGAACCTTCAGTGTGTTTATATACAGTGAACCTTCAGTGTTTATATACAGTGAACCTTCAGTGTGTTTATATACAGTGAACCTTCAGTGTTTATATACAGTGAACTTTCAGTGTTTATATACAGTGAACCTTCAGTGTTTATATACAGTGAACCTTCAGTGTGTTTATATACAGTGAACCTTCAGTGTGTTTATATACAGTGAACCTTCAGTGTTTATATACAGTGAACCTTCAGTGTTTATATACAGTGAACCTTCAGTGTTTATATACAGTGAACCTTCAGTGTGTTTATATACAGTGAACCTTCAGTGTTTATATACAGTGAACCTTCAGTGTTTATATACAGTGAACCTTCAGTGTGTTTATATACAGTGAACCTTCAGTGTTTATATACAGTGAACCTTCAGTGTGTTTATATACAGTGAACCTTCAGTGTGTTTATATACAGTGAACCTTCAGTGTTTATATACAGTGAACCTTCAGTGTTTATATACAGTGAACCTTCAGTGTGTTTATATACAGTGAACCTTCAGTGTGTTTATATACAGTGAACCTTCAGTGTGTTTATATACAGTGAACCTTCAGTGTTTATATACAGTGAACCTTCAGTGTGTTTATATACAGTGAACCTTCAGTGTGTTTATATACAGTGAACCTTCAGTGTGTTTATATACAGTGAACCTTCAGTGAACCTTGTGTGAACCAGTGTTTATATACAGTGTGTGTTTATATACAGTGAACCAGTGTGTTTATTCAGTGTGTTTATATACAGTGAACCTTCAGTGTGTTTATATACAGTGAACCTTCAGTGTTTATATACAGTGTTCAGTGTGTTTATATATACAGTGTTTATATACAGTGAACCTTCAGTGTGTTTATATACAGTGAACCTTCAGTGTGTTTATATACAGTGAACCTTCAGTGTTTATATACAGTGAACCTTCAGTGTGTTTATATACAGTGAACCTTCAGTGTGTTTATATACAGTGAACCTTCAGTGTGTTTATATACAGTGAACCTTCAGTGTGTTATATACATACCTTCAGTGAACCTTCAGTGTGTTTATGTACAGTGAACCTTCAGTGTTTATATACAGTGAACCAGTGTTTATATACAGTGAACCTTCAGTGTGTTTATATACAGTGGACCTTCAGTGTTTATATACAGTGAACCTTCAGTGTTTATATACAGTGGACCTTCAGTGTTTATATACAGTGAACCTTCAGTGTGTTTATATACAGTGGACCTTCAGTGTTTATATACAGTGAACCTTCAGTGTGTTTATATACAGTGAACCTTCAGTGTGTTTATATACAGTGGACCTTCAGTGTGTGTTTATATACAGTGGACCTTCAGTGTTTATATACAGTGAACCTTCAGTGTTTATATACAGTGAACCTTCAGTGTTTATATACAGTGAACCTTCAGTGTTTATATACAGTGGACCTTCAGTGTTTATATGTGGACCTTATATATACAGTGGACCTTCAGTGTTTATATACAGTGAACCTTCAGTGTGTTTATATACAGTACAGTGGACCTTCAGTGTGTTTATATACAGTGGACCTTCAGTGTTTATATACAGTGAACCTTCAGTGTGTTTATATACAGTGAACCTTCAGTGTGTTTATATACAGTGAACCTTCAGTGTGTTTATATACAGTGAACCAGTGGACCTTCAGTGTTTATATACAGTGAACAATCAGTGTTTATATACAGTGAACCTTCAGTGTGTTTATATACAGTGAACCTTCAGTGGTGTGTTATATATACAGTGAACCTTCAGTGTTATATATTCAGTGTGTTTATATACAGTGGACCTTCAGTGTTTATATACAGTGAACCTTCAGTGTTTATATACAGTGAACCTTCAGTGTTTATATACAGTGGACCTTCAGTGTTTATATACAGTGGACCTTCAGTGTGTTTATATACAGTGAACCTTCAGTGTTTATATACAGTGGACCTTCAGTGTGTTTATATACAGTGGACCTTCAGTGTTTATATACAGTGGACCTTCAGTGTTTATATACAGTGGACCTTCAGTGTTTATATACAGTGAACCTTCAGTGTGTTTATATACAGTGAACCAGTGTTTATATACAGTGAACCTTCAGTGTGTTTATATACAGTGAACCTTCAGTGTGTTTATATACAGTGGACCTTCAGTGTTTATATACAGTGAACCTTCAGTGTTTATATACAGTGAACCTTCAGTGTTTATATACAGTGAACCTTCAGTGTGTTTATATACAGTGAACCTTCAGTGTGTTTATATACAGTGAACCTTCAGTGTTTATATACAGTGGACCTTCAGTGTTTATATACAGTGGACCTTCAGTGTGTTTATATACAGTGAACCTTCAGTGTTTATATACAGTGGACCTTCAGTGTTTATATACAGTGAACCTTCAGTGTGTTTATATACAGTGAACCTTCAGTGTTTATATACAGTGGACCTTCAGTGTTTATATACAGTGAACCTTCAGTGTGTTTATATACAGTGAACCTTCAGTGTGTTTATATACAGTGAACCTTCAGTGTTTATATACAGTGAACCTTCAGTGTTTATTTACAGTGAACCTTCAGTGTGTTTATATACAGTGAACCTTCAGTGTTTATATACAGTGAACCTTCAGTGTGTTTATATACAGTGAACCTTCAGTGTTTATATACAGTGAACCTTCAGTGTTTATATACAGTGGACCTTCAGTGTTTATGTAAATGGACCTTTGGCATTATATGCATCTGACCTTCAGTGATTTACAATTCTGTTCTGTGTTGAACAGTTTGACTTTATCATTCATTTTAGCTCCAATGAATAACCACTGCAGATGCCAACAAAAACTATCAGTATTGATATAAGTAGTACAGGTTCTAAAATGTTTCAGTTCTACAAATATGGTTTATGGTCAGTTTTGTCTCTGGTTTGATATGGCACTGCATCCATTGTCTGTAAAGTTTTGTAGACCATAGTTGATGAAATTATATAACAGACATACTCTGCTTTTAGAAGAGACCATTTATTTTTCTTAAGTTTATAGCTTCCCTATTTTTACCTGGTTTGTAACTTTTAGACAAAAAACTTACATGTGAATGTTCAGAGTATTGTCAGCTTAACTTGAAAAAAAAATTATAACTTGAATTTTATAGAAAAACCTTCTGTGACTTGTACCCTGGTAAAAACTTCCTTACGAAAAAATAACAATAAGATTGTTTAATTAATATTTATTTGACTTAAGGCATTTTATGACTTACTTACTAACATTTGAAATAGCATTACTTTGTTATAAGATGTGCAAGTAAAAAATTACCATATAGATTGCAGTTGAAGACTATCCTATATCAATCAAAAAGTATACAGATTGATTGTTTTTTAGGTCACCTGTGACAAAGTCTCATGGTAACCTATTCTAATACCATTCATGCAGTGTCATGCATCCGTAAACAATTTAACACTTTCGACTTCTTCTCAAAAACCCCTTATCTAATTTCAATGAAATTTTGCAGAAGTCTTTCCTGGCCTAAGATGAACCGAAATTGTGAATTATACAGTCACCACCCTCCAGGGACCTAAGGAGTGGGCCAAAAGGGCTCAAATTGACTCAGATTTCAAAAATGTTCTTCTTTATACCCCCATATAATAGAATCAAAGAATCTTCATGAATGTAAGCACCTTAAGATGCTTTACGAAAATTGTGAATTTCTTGGCCCCAGGGTCTCCTATATCCCCGTGGGGAGGGGGTAAAGTTTATTACAGTTTATATAGGAAAATTAGCTTCTTGAGAATAATTTGTTTAATTTCCATTGGAAATATTTCAAACTTGGTTAGAATTATGAGTGAAGGATGATGGTTTCATAGTATGCCCATTCTGATCCTGACTGACCCCCTAGGTCTGATGAGTGGGGCCAAAAAGGGTCAAATTGACTTAAATTTCAAAAATCTTCTTCTCAAAACCCACATATGGTAGAATAAAATACTCTTCATGAATGGAAGCATCTTAAGGTACTTTAGTTACCAAAATAAGTCTTACATTTCTTTCTGGGGAAGAAATTTTTTTAGACTTTACTGTAATTTTCACAGTAAAATTGTATTTTTGAGCATAACATTGCTTATTTCTCACTGGAAATAAATTTATAAGAATTATCGGTATAGGATGACATGGTATGCATGTATGGACACTGCCTTAATGTATTCAGTGTCATAATTTCTTTTACCCAACACTTGATAACTATCCTTTAACCTTGATATTCAATGTTGCTTATCTCAGGTGAGTGTCAAGGCCGTTAGGCCTCTTGTTTGACGTATGACCTTTGTGGCTTATGCATTGGATGTTGACATTTTATAAAATTTTGCAATATAATCAGATGTGCACACCATAGTAAAAGATGAAATAAATTAGTATACTCTTATTAGGACAAATTATTGAAGTAATACAATGTTAAGCAAATAAAAAATTGAACATTCCTTGATGTCAATTAATGCAAGGATGTTGCTTACTTGTTATGAACCTATAATGCATACATGCATATTGAAACCATGTTTTTCCTGAGCTAATTTTCTTTTTGAAATAATAGTGTGTTGAGCCCATATATATTTGAGAGATTTGCTGTTTAATACTGGCAGTAATTATCTATATACTTTTTTATTTTGAAATTGCTCTTTAATTATTCATAATAGCACAGCAGCTGTAACCTGTATTCACCACAGGTAATTAATTGTCTGTAGAATCAAATAGCTTACTCATGAATATTTATGAAGACATAATGAGGGATGACACTTTAATAAAATGG